AAAACGATTGTGAAATCTCCTTTAATATCGATACCGGATAATGTCATGCGACTCCTCTTCCCTCTTCCCTAATCACTACAATCGAGTATTCGGTTTCGATTAAGAAAACACTCAAGAGTTCCTCAGAATATTTATTCAGCAGATAATGAAACCGCCTTTTAAAGCCCCTTTTAAAGCCGTGACTCAGGTATATTCTTTCAGTTTAAATAAAGAACACTTTGTGATGACTGCAGACAAACGTGAAAAGAAAGTTACCGTGTATAGGCAGGGTTGTGGAAGTATGGAGAAATGAGCAGCTAGCCTACAATCCGCGCGTCTATTAGCCACGGCGCCGTAGTTGTTCTGCAAGGCCATCGTCACAGTCATTTTTTGTTTATTGTTCAGTCTTCATTATAACTTTCGGTCTGCGTATGATAGCTTTGATCTGAAATTCACGAACGCCGAGCAACCTCGTTGAGTAGTTATGACTGCCTTTCCTAGCCCCATACATGAGGAGAAAATGTGGAGATATAGGCCTTTTTTCTCCCAGACAGAGAAGACGCATTAACACAGAGACATCGATGATATTGACGAGCACTTGGCCGGGAAAACTGTGACATTTGATGGCAGAACCTTAGCCTACATTCAGATTTCCTCCCAGAAAACGACTGAGCAGTCATCACACAACAAACTCTACTCTCAATTTAAACTATAGACACAGATGGTTTTAATAATTAAACCAATGTACAACCCTTTAACTCAAGTTTGTCCCGTTGATCTGTATGGCGTGCAAATAAGACATTTATCCGAGGTAAATGGTAGCTTTTGATTACGTGAAGATATCTCTATATAGTTCAAGATAGCTCCAATTATTTCCAAATATCTTTAAAACTTTTTATCTTTTGAAGAAAATTATCTGTAAAGACAATTTAAAAGCCCTCGAGTGATTATTTCGAGATACCTTGAAATCCATTTAAAGATATCTTAAATTTGAGTTAAATATATCTCAAATTCGATTTCAAGTTATCTTGAAATCGATTTCAAGATATCTCTAATTCCTTTCCAGATATGTCTTAATTCATTTCAAGACATCTCTCAACCCATTTTCAAGATATCTCTAAATTTATTTCAAGATATCTTTATATGATTTCAAGATAGTTTAAAATGATTTCAAGATATCTCTTAAGTATAGGTTTCCCGGCTATTTAAAAAAACCAAATTCATTCAAATTCACCAACTCTATCATGCAATTTCGTCCACGAAACATTTCACACGCTTTTAACAAAATCAATTTAGTCATTTACCATTCAATTTTAAAGTTGGGTCACCCTCTTTAGTCACCGGGTCGAGAATATTCGTCATTACAGATCAAATTCGTCTAAGCTGTTGCCGAATGGCAGCATTCAGAGATCGAATTCGTCTTATATAAATCAGTAGGACGAATTTGATTTCTGAATAACAAGGTTTGGCGTAGACGATACGAAATTGAATACTCAGGGACGAAAACGTGTGCTCATTGTTTAAATTTGCTTGAACTGAATTTGAAATTGTCTGACAAAAGACGAAACTTAACATTGGAAATGCACTTAACCGATGTTGATGGACGAATTTGAATATTAGAAACGGTGAATTTGAATGATAAACGTTTCAAAATAGCCGGGGAAAAATATATTAAGAGATATCTCTAAATATATTTCAAGATATCTCTTGTTGCGTTTAGAAATATCTTGAATTGCATTTACAGATATCTCTTAATGCATTTAACGACACTGTTGATGTAAATATGTCACGTTTGCGCGCCATTCATCTTGTCACCACGCCAGCGTACCCGCCGCCACCAAATTTTGCAGAATCTGATGGTCCTATACAGGGTGAGTCAAAAAGAAAGTGACCCGAATTTAGGATTTTTTTCCTTAAAAATCAATTACATTTGAAACACCAATGAAGTATATCTTGAAAGAGCATGTTCTTCCAGTTATCTCAAAAAAGAATTACTGAAATTGATCCATGCTATCAGAAGTTATGCAGGTTTTACTAAAAGAACCCATTTTTATAGCTGTCAATGGAATGCCATTGGAAGCTATTGAGCTCTGTGAGAATTACAGATTACACGCAATGATTCAAATACAAATGAGATTTTAATAATTGAAATCAAGACTGACACATTATTTTTACTGTCAGATTTTGCAATTTGAATGTGAGGAACAAGTCAACTGTTTTTTCCCCTGAAATATTGATGGCGATTTTTTTATGTTTTCCTTTGCAAGTTCTCGTTCATTCATCGAGATGGGAAAACGTCCATGTTTCATTATCCAAAATGGGCATTCATTAGTTCGTAGAATAATAAATGATCAGTGGTGGACAGCTGAGTTTTGTGATCTTTTTATTGAAATGTACACAACTTGGGAACAGAGTATGTAAATTACGTGAAATTTTCACAGTTACAAGTCAATAAGACGTACTTTATCCCAATTTCTTTATGAAATGGAGCAAGCCAAATATTTTACAAATATTTTTCAATTTCGGTCACTTTCTTTTTGGCTCACCCTGTACAGAGAAAACGGTGGAATACTTGTTCTCTCTTACCACGTTTCCTCTCCGATGTATGACAGACACAAGCCTTGTTTAATAATTAATACTCGTTAAAACGCGACCAGAGAGTGAGACACCTCAATTAGAAAAGTAGCAGCATGGTGTCAAGACTAGTGTCGGCTTGTGCTACGGTTACTAATTGATGTCCGATTTGTTGCTCGTTTCATGTCGTTTAATTCAGACCCAATATTGCTGGACGGATCTTTTTGTAGGGATCGTATTTATTTTTTATTTATTTATTTTATTTATTTCTTATTTATCCTGGGTGAGGGTGATCCATTCAGTGTAAAAAATTCACTGATCTCCCATGGATCCCAGCTCACACAAAACTACTTTTAAAATACAATTAAAATATTAAGAGTACAATGTAAGAATGTTAAAAAAAATCATTTATAAATAAACTTAAATAAAACAGGAATTACACAGATGATAAACAGACATTTACAGTACAATACAAAACATCACTGCAAGATGACATCCGCCCCCCCCCCCACCTCCGTTTTTTTTTCGTTTTTTTTTTCTTTCTTTTTCCCGCTTATTTTCTTCTTTTTGTAACTGAACTGTTTGAGTTGATTGACGAAGTGATTAAGACTTGCTGGATGCGGAGATTTCAAATGTTGCGGTAACTTATTCCAAGCCTTTTTTTTTTTTTTGGTATTGAGAGTTATCGATTCCTAGGACCTGATTTTTGGATGGATATTGTTTTCAAGAAAGTGTTTCAAAATGTTGGTGAATATTTTTGGCGAGACGACTCGTTTGGTCGGTCTAAAAAGTTCTATTGAAGGTGAACCAAAACTGAATCAGCCTATCTGAAAGACCGCTGCATCACTAAGCATTGAACTGTTACTAAAAGGATATGAATAGCAACGCATAATTAATAAGGCTCCTTTCTTTAGGAAAGTAACTCAACAACCGATTTGTCAAATACACAGGAAGATAAATGACACTCATAAGCCCTCGTATTTGGCTATCAATGCATTCATATTTTGGTCCTAAAATGCACACAGCGAGTTTGATGAGACAGTTGGACCGCCTGAAGATAATAATTTGTGTAATAACTTGTCATATCCATTGTGTTGCGCCAGCCCGACCTAATCAAGCAGAATGGTTGAAAAGGGGATCACATTATAGGAAAGTAGAAAAATACTAATCAGCATCAATAGTGGTAGTTTGATGGCGTCCCCTGACGATTTAAAATGCATCATCATCATCATCATCGCTACCACCACCATCATCATCATCGTCGCCGTTCAATTGGTGTGTTCCTCGGCAGGCCAGGAGCGGCGTGCGCGCTGCGCGCGGGCGGGTAATCCCGTGCTTGAGCGCTCGTATTGAAAGCCAATCGCATTTACAAAAATGACTAATGTTAATTAAACCCTCTCGTCGTCGGTATAATCCTGACAAGAGGGGAAAAAGAGTGAGGGAGATGAAAAGGGAGCTTTACGGGAGAGGCAAAGCTGGGCAGCGAAGCGTATCCACGTTGGCACCGTCTAGTTTGTTTAATTAAAGTAATTTCCTAATGGGGGCATCGAGAAAGGGAGTGGGGGAGGGAGGAGAGAAGCTAACGACAACCTGTTGAATTATTTCTCGAATCTCTACTCAACCAAAACAAGGGGGAAAAAATCCAATACCTATCTGCATAATTTGGTCTTTGCTGTCGAGGGAGTACGGACTACGCTGTGATGGTTATGAAATAACAATGCAATGGGTTTCTCAGCGGCTCCCTGTTGAATATTTGAAGAGTTGTGTGGATGTCGTTACGGTGCATAGTGCGAGACACGAAGGGGACAACCTCGTATTGCCCCCATCCCCCTCCGACACTGATGATCAATCATGTGGTGTGTACAAAAGCTTTGTATATCGGGCTGTGGATGAGCATAGACGAGTTTACATGGAATTATACCCAGGATGCATTATTTTTTAGACTTCGGTGGTTGATAACAAAGTGCCAACGGGCAAAGAAACAAAACGGCCAAACAGACAAGCCGGGGGAATTACTGGAGCATTAAAGTCACAAGTACAAGGGGCTTATTGGAGAAGCGAAACACACACAATCAAACTACGCATTAAATATCATTCGCCCAGAAAACAATAACACATTTTTGGGAGTCTTAAATCGTTTTTAAAATTACATGTAACGCTCTTAGCTCCTGTTAACACAACATAGTTTATTTGTTGTGAAATAAGGAATTTTGTGAAATACATAATAATATTGATATTTCAGGCGGAATTAACAGCATGACTTTGTGATTGAAAACATTTCTCTCAGATTTGTTCATACTTTTAATGAAGTGCAACTGTCACAACGGTATAAGAGTGGATCAGGAACGGTATAAGATAATCAGGAACAGAGAAGTATATATAGTATCAATTGTTTTTCATTAATTTGCCTTGCTTAATTTGTCTTGCTTATCTTTGTTTTACAATAGCTTGGGTTTAGTATGGAGCATCAAGACCTGAAACGTCAGGCATCTAACCCGACACCGAGTCCCACGACTCGTGCCCACGTCTGTGAAACCCCGTGCAAGCCCCCGGACCCCGACTGCATCGGCGGTACCAGCAACCAGTGCTACACCGTCAACCTCTTCGGTATGCCCATAGCCGCCCTGATCATCGACGGTCAGGAGCGACTCTGTCTGGCCCAGATCTCTAACACTCTCCTCAAAAAGTTCAGTTACAACGAGATCCACAACCGGCGCGTGGCTTTGGGCATCACCTGCGTGCAGTGCACCCCGGTCCAACTAGAGATCCTCCGGCGCGCCAACGCCATGCCCGTCTCATCTCGCCGCTGCGGCATGATCAACAAGCGGGAGGCCGAGCGACTCTGCAAATCCTTTCTGACCGAGAACAGACCGCCTAAGCTACCGGACAACTTTTCCTTTGACGTGTACCACGAGTGCACCTGGGGATGCCGCGGGGCCTTCGTCCCGTCCCGGTACAACAGTTCCAGGGCCAAGTGTATCAGGTGCGCCTACTGCAACCTGTTCTCGTCCCCAAACAAGTTTATCTTTCACGCGCATCGCACCCCGACCTCCAAGTTCCACCCACCAGACGGGCCCAACTTCAACTCCTGGAGAAGGCACATCAAGCTGGTCGATCCCAACCCATCAGAGGATCTCCTGCACGCTTGGGAGGATGTCAAGGCCATGTTTAACGGAGGCAGCCGTAAGAGGTCCGTCTGCGAGACATCCAACAAGCTCGCCCCGTCATCGTTCGGTAGACCCGTGGTGGATCCCATCTCGCTCAGTAGTGAAGCTCAACGGTTACTCCCCAGTCCGCCCACGAGGAGCCGCTACGACAAGGATCCTCATCAAGATCTCGAACCAACTCCACCTGGAGCGGTAAACATACCTTACCCACTCATGCCCATCCCCAGTCGTACCCTGTCTACATCGATGGCTGATACTTTGCCAGAGGACACCCCAATGAACTCCTCCCCTCCCTACTCAGTCGGTGCCATTTTCCCCGGACAGTTGTCCCCGCCGGCGTTTAGACAGCATCCGTTTATGGAGCTTGTGTGGAGCGGTGGCAGGACGGGGTACCCTCTACCTGCGGCAGCCATTTGGCCCAAGACTATCGGAATGCCGTTTGCTGGTAACCCTGGCTACTATCAACCCCTCATGGAACCAGATAATGAAATTCACACAATGATAGATGTTGCTCCAGCAAGCAACCATAGCCCGGCGAAGAGACCTCACCATCAGTGGGATGACTTTGACCCAATGAAATTCCGCAACCTTAAACCGAAGAATCTTACCATGAGACACCACTTTCACCATCATCATCTCCCAGATTTAAGATCCAGGAATGCGTACTACACGTCCGCCTTCCGTCCCGTTCTGACCGGGAAAGGTTACCTTGACCCAGAACGGTCGTTTCCCAGCGCCGAACGATTCATGTTTCCCCCGAAATCCCCTCTCGACGACTGTTGCCTGACCATCCGAGATCCCCAGACCAGCCCCCAACAACCCCCTAACCACCAGGTGAAAATCAAAGCAGATCACTACCCCGTCACCAAATCACCGATGAGTCTCAGTCCTCAGACTTCGGAGCTCATCATTGATGATCCCATCGATAAGACCGACTCCTACGCCGAAGCGACCGTGAAACGGACACCGGGCACGACGAGTGGCACGGAGCTAGACGCAGGTGGGAGTCCACCAGGCGGTGCCGCCGAGAGCCATCGTGACCTCGGGAAAGCGCACGCAAAAGCAGCCATCTCGATGGAAGAGGTAAAGAAATCTCCATTTAATTAGCTGATGTTTTGCCGATTAGGCGTCATAATCACATGTCTCAGGTGCGATGTTATGATCATTACTGTGCGTTAAGGCAATTACATCGATGGGTAACTGTTTCCTTGATCAAAACTGAGCCCCGAACACAGCAGACTTGGCATCCACTAGAAACTTGATTATGTTTTACCCGGAAATTAAAAAGATGGTGTAGGCCTGCTTGGGCGCAGCAGTCTCAAATGTCACAAAGAAAATAAAATTGCTCTCATGATGCCAGGATTATAATTTATTGTCAGAAAAGGAACACATATGGTGTGAATTAGAAAAGACTTAACATTGCTTTAATGTTTCTCACTATCTGAGCAAAATTTAAAAACGAACGACTGAATTGCGTCAATTAAGAGTATAATTTAACCGATTCCAAGCTTATTCAATCACAAACAAAACAAGTAATTAACAACAACCGCAGCACCCATAAACATAACCACAGCACCGTAGGAGCTGTCCCTTAACCACAAACCATAACCACGGCAGTTAAGCGAACCACAGGTACCGCTATAACCACAAAAGACAACCACTGGAGCCACAATATCTTCTGCAACCACAAATACAACTATACATTGTACATCAGCACCGCATGCCGCAACATCCACTACTTCCACAATTACAGCACTTGAAACGACCAAGTGCTATACAATAACCACAACAATCGCAAAACATTAACCATAGCGATCACAACAACAAAGACAAAAACACAAACGTATGCGGCATCGCAACAAAACCACATAAACTGCAACATAACTTCATAACAGTAGTTGTAAACCTCAAGCAACTTCATTGAGCGCACAAGTTACCAATAATTAGGGGAACAACCACGGCAACATCCGGTAGGCATGTGTATCCGAGGCACTGATGATGCAGCAATTAACCTCACAAAGTCATTACGTATTCATGAGCACACGGCAAATTCCTGTCTGTAATTAAAGGGAAAATACAACATTTGCAAACATCAAAAAATAAAACTAGCAAATCATTTTGAAATACCTTGCTGGACTGTTAGTGAATGACAGTGTAAAGCATTCTGTAAAATCATGGCACCTGGTATACTGTCATTTTCAAGAAAAGTGGTATTTTTGTATCAATTTCCAACGCTGGCCGGCCGACCAGCGTTGGAAAAAAACTGCCTTTTTTCAAATACTGGCCCTAATTGACCATCGCACTTGTTTGCAATCGAGTCAGGGAACCAGACTACATGAAAATGATTGTTTTTCTTGGTTTTTATAGCATTTTCGAACCCAAAACCTCAAAAAAAGGTGGAACTATATTTGCTATATATTTCCAACCCCCCAATTCCATCCATTTCTGAAAATTACAGCAAAAGCAAATGATGTATATTCCCTTTATACATGAAATGTTATTCATGCATTGCAAACTGCGCGGTGCCATTAAAGTAATGAAAGAGTTAATTTATAAGTAATGAAATGTTGTGTAGTGCAAGTTCGAAAAAGCAGGAGCCGCCACAGCAGTAGTTCAATGATCTGATGGTTGTTGATAAGTCCACCCTCACAGACAGTCGAAGACCTTTAGGATACAATACATTGCGATTGGAAACAACAAACCGATCGATTATGTTGATGTATATGACATGCTAGAACGAAATTTTCAAATTTTGCGCCCAATAAGCCTATGCCATTTTGTTTGAGAACCATACAATTTATGCTACTGTAAGCCCAGATCTAGAAGCTTAATTAATTTTATTAGTATTCTCTTCCATTAAGGCTGAATAACTAGCTTCCCTTGTTGACATCTTTAGGATTCTTTCAAATTACTCTGTGGTCCACACAGACAGTTCTCATAGACACTCAGTCTCCATGGGCTTGGTCGTAGAACCTAAAACCACATAGATTCCATTTGCTGTTACATGTTTATTGAACTTACACACAATCCATGTTCTTCATTTCTGTATTTAATCAGCCCCTCTCCCCCCAATTCTTCAGTCTCTCTTCTGAACTTCCACCAGAACACCTCAACTCTCTGTCTGTGTTGCCAAGAAACCACATATAGACCCGATTATCCTTGTCAGTAGTTATATTTCTTCAGTGTCGATTCTACACGAACTTCTTCTGCCCGCTCCAGCTGCCTCCGTGGATACATTTTGTATAGTCCAATTTTACATCTTTCCTGTTGTTGAACTAGTAACCATGACTCTAGGACTGGTGTAGTCAATACCGCCTATGAAGTAAATCATGTGTTACACTACCTTAATTCCGTGGCTTGTTTGTCATCCATACCCAGAATGCAATGCGAATATCGAAAATGTCATCACCATTACCATTCTCATCTTTGTTTTTTTAATCGTCGGCAATATTTGGTGACTTGTTCAAGAATATTGTTTTCAACTCCTGATGCACCCGCTCCGGAAATAAAGAGCGAGGTTATTTTTTTAACACGTTGTGAAGTGAAATATTTTCGTTGGTGTTGCAGGCGGAGAGCCCACATAGCTCGCCATCGGACGCATCGGTGTGCGATCGCCTGCCAGGCAACCGCGTACAACATCCCTGCCGCCATCTTGCCAGGGAATCCACAACGCCCTCACCGGCCACTGAAGATGAAGATCATGCTCCACACGAACCTGCCAAAGGTATGTGTTTTTTTCTATATTCTTTATACAATTTCTCTGAAATTTTATGTCTTTCCTCAAATACGCCTCGTGCTCCTCACATCGTTATAATTACAGGGTGAGTCAAGAAAAATAAACGAAACCCAAATGTTGGGACCATTGTTTTAATGAAGTTCTAAATGTAGCACTTTCAAAATCTAGGATATAAAAGCTCAATTCATAAGCTTTCTTTTAGTACAAGAATCATACAAATCACTTACGTACTTTTCAAGTTACGGACTTTTAAACACCGTTTTTAAAGTTTTGTCCACGGATCACAAAAAGGTGTTCTTTCAGCAAAACGAAAACAAATCACATAAGGATGTGTGTGAATTGTTTTCGTTTTGCTGATAGAACGCACACCTTTTGTGCTTCAAACGAGAACAAAATGCACAAAGAACAAATGAGCGAATGGACCTATACTAAAGTGCAAGAAAGACAAACGGTGGTTCTTATCTCCAGAATAACACCATACAGACAGATACGTCAATAACGAAAGCGAAAGCCGCCCGTTTGTTTTTCCCCAATAACCTGTGTTTCAGGTGTATTTGCCTCTGTTGTATAATGTGATGTTCCCCAAAGTGGAAAAGCAGCCATCTTGAAAAAGATTCTTCCACAACATGGCCTATGGAAGGACAATGTTTACATTTTGAAACCTAAACTGAATGCCCGCCCTCCAGAATATTGGCCCTCTAAGCACCCCTCCCTAAAAGTTGGACCCTACCTGATAAAAAGTGGTCAAATATAGCGTCCTGTTTCAAACCAACTACATCCTTAGAAATATCGTCTACTTTGTGGAGGTCTAAGAAAGTTCTCGATTCTCATTTTTAAGAAGATCCGGGCAGCTAATGTTGTTTTTAGTTCTCTTTCGCCCTATGCATCACAATCTCCGTGATTGACTGTACGGTTTTGAAGATGAAAAGGGGATCATATTATCTCTTCCAAATACTATCAAGAATCCATTTTCAGCATCCCCTTCTCACCAAAGCCTGAGTCTAATGTCTTGGTTGTCCTCCCTGATTTATTCATCGAAATCATCCGTCCGTTAAGCTCCACCTCATAGCACGGCATTCCAGTCTCTCGTCAGTATACTCACTCCAGCCTTCAAGAACAAAATACATGTAGGCCTATTCCCTCCCCCATCACATTTCCTGACAATGCTTACTGAACAAAGGCATTTCTGAACTTGGACGCGGTGATCTGATACAATATTCATGAAATTTGCCCTTTTTAAACTCTTTATTTTTGTTTCCTAGCAAGCCTTTTTAATCACTATTTCTATTTTTTTTGCAACCAAAATTTAATCATCATTAGCCGCACGTTGGATGCAGCCTTTCCCCCTGTCACAGATCGCCCCAGGCCCCTGCCACGTTCACTGCCGAATTGCGTGCGATGCCGTGTCAGTGTGTGGCCACTTATGGCCAAAAAAAGCTTTGTCGCACGCTTAATTCTGCTCGGCTCTCGAATTTAATTAGAACTCCTAATTAAGGGGTCTTGCCATTATACACTACGGAACGGTCTCCGTAACCGGAAGAGAATTTAGAAATGAATAACAACAGTTGTTCGAGTAATACTTTCCCTGGCCCTAATGACAGCGCAATCAGAGCATATCCACCAAGGTTGAGCCACAGCTGCGTATCGGCCTATGAACATCACCATTATTTTCTTTTTAATTCAATTCAATATCAGTCTTCTTTCTTATTTATTTATATCCCCCCCCCCAACACAACCACGTTTCACTGATTATGATTTTGGTCCAGTGGAAAAAGCATCCTTTGTTGGTGGGGCGCGTATGGGCAAACGCGCCTTGCACGGCAGCGGCCGCGTGGTGGAGTGCCGGGTATTTGGACCAAATTTGTCCCTCTGTGCCCCCCCCCCTCCCCCGCGGGAGAGTGCAGCAGACTTCCCATTCCCCTTTAGCGCGCAAAACCTTCTCAGCACTTGATTAACTGCTAAAGAAACAACTAGTGGCAAATATCCCTTAATTAAAGTCGCCCTGGGTGCTCTATCCGCTTGTAATCTCGTCAGAAAGGATTACGATAAAGTAGCTACAGATTAATTCCCCCATTTTTGGGTACAGTAACAATCTGCTGCGCTCCCGCTTTTGTTTGGCTCCAAATTAACTCGGATCCGATTGAAAGTGTTGCAAATGTTGCCAAATCGGAAAAGTCGGACATTTTGCCGCGACAAGTCCGTCACTCATTGCTACAGGGTGAGTCAAAAAATGCGTAACCCAACCCCCCCCCCAAAAAAAAATATATTTCATATTTTAAAAAATATATAGCACCAAAAATAATAACGACCGAAAAGCCAATTTCAGAAACTACTTTTAAATGAAAAAAATGCTGCAATTGCTCAGTCCGTTCAAAGAATATCACTATTTAAACGCAATGACCCTAAAACCTGTTTCGTCAAAAAAAAAGGCAATTTATTGTGTTCTGACTGTTTGGAACAACAAAGAAAAGGACATAGAAACTTGTTTTAACAACTGTCAACAACTGTAGTACACAATATCTGTTTTATAGGCAAACAATATGATTTATGAAATCCACTCTTTCTTTTTTTTTACAAAAGACGGGCCTTCAAAAGGACTTTTGTGAATATTTTTAACTTTTAAACTGAGGTTTTATCGTTGGTGATGTTTGAAGACAATTGTGACGACGATTCTTGAAATCGCATTTTTGGACGAAAGAGGTTTTAGGGTTACTAGTGCTTAAATGGTGATATACTTTGAACGGATTGAGCAATTTAAGTAAATTTTTCATCTAAAAGTAGTTTATGAAATTGGCTTTCCAGTCATTATTTGGTGCGATCTTTTTTTCTTTTTTTTTTAAATATGACATTTTTTTTTAGGTTTGGGTTCCGCTTTTTTGACTCGCCCTGTATCTCGTTCGTGCCCTTCCATTCTCTGCATGATGACCGCACATCAAAGAGTGACTTTTAATTCACGGACCGTTTTGCATTAAATTTTAGAAAAAAATTACTTCATTTTAATCATACTGGTGAATTTTCTATCAATTGGAACGGTCTTTGTCAAGCATGAGTCACTTTTAAGCTGGGAAAAGTTCTAACAAGGACGTTCACATTAATTATGCAAGCGCTATGACAGAATAGGCGGAGAAACCCCTCAACCAAGTCCAATAGTGACGATGGTTTTGCGAGTGAGAACAAAATAATTGCTGAAAAGGAGAACCATATATTATGGTGCTTCTGGTATTTATAGACGATAGTGACGAGGAAAAAAATACAGTTTCTATGATCTTATAGACATGCCAAAAGAAATCCATAGATTTGTTTTCCTGATGTGTATTTATAATGTTTTTTTTTCAAGAACGAATACAAAAGGAGATTGGCGAGCCTTAAAGGCTAGGTTGGCACGTGCGATCTAGCGGTACGTAGAGCACAGGATTCATTATCATGAGATTGTGGGTTCGAGCGCCGCCGTGGCCATGCGTGTTGTGTGTGCCCTTGAGTAAGGCGCTTTACCTCCATTACTCCTCTCAACCCAGGTGTTAAATGGGTATCGGCATTATTCAATGCTGGGAAGGTAACAGACTCGCTGTGGAGGAGGTGTGGTGATCCCCCCACAGCAGCATTTCATGGACTCGAGTCTGGCATAATCGCTTTGAAAGAGAGATGGGCACTCCGTTTCTGTGAACACAGGTTCGCCCCCCCCCCCTCCTCCTCGTCCCCTAAAGCCTATGTGGGAATGCTTTGTATTAGTTCGGAAGTTTTGAGGGGGTTACGTTCCTATCATTGGTGCAACCATTATAGCCCTCTCTCCCAATTTGGGAGATTTCCTGCGCCGGAAAAACCTGAGAACATAAAACCTGAAAACATGAATAAAACCAAACTTAAGAAAATGATGTTATGAGGTAAACCTACCTATAACCTGGTATAAATTCACTGAAAAAAAACTTACCAAAGGTAGACAACTGCAGAATAATTTTCAAAAAATTGGCCTACAACGATGTAGATAGAAATATAACTGGCTGGAAAGTATAGCAAAATGGGGATTCGACCCTGTACTTGAGGTAGACAAAATATTAAATAGAAATGCACAAACAAAAGACACACAAAAAAGGAAGAAAACAAATATAAGCTCAATTTTCAATTGATTTATCACTTTTCCAATATGAGAGTCAGATTTATAAAATGAAGTCCAACGACAAGAAGGCTTCAATGCCTAGTCGTTTCACAACATACACATGCAGCGTGATTTCTGCTCACTACACTCAACCATGTTCTGCCTATCAGCCCTCCAATTTCTACCAAAGCGTCAGTGTGTGCACCTCCTCCGGGCAGTGTTGACGAACAGAAAAAGAAACTGTTACTTCTTTTTTTTCCCGCCGTGCGAAGTTCCGTCGTCAGGCTGCTACGGGAAACTCCGAGGCAGGCCCGGCGCGTGGCTAGGCCAAAGCCGGGGCCACAATCGCCGGCCACAATCCTGGCTCTAGGGCCCCCGCCATCACTTTATTGTGGCACAACGCTCCGACCAATCAACCGGGGAACCGTAGGGGACTAAGGGGGTACCCACCGCTACCTCGAGAGCCAAGGGATGTTTAAACTGTATTGTTTGGGGGCCACGCACAATAGAAAAGCCCCGGCCAGAAGTCATGCACTTCCGGGCATCATTAACTGTGATTACTCCAGAAAAGTCCGACTTAAAAATGTTCATTTCCTTAATGCCTTTTTTCTCTGCGAGGGCTCGTACGGGAAAATAATTGATTATTTCTGGCAAGATTAACGTTTTCGTCCATTTTCTTTTGCCGGGGGTAGAGGAGGTGGGTTGATTCTAGGGACTAGCCCCCCGAGGAAGCTAGGCCGTCAGGATTCCATCTGTCCCCCGTCCTTGCGCGGTGTTCGCCCGGTCAACGTTCCACTCTGCTCCGCTCAACTCACCGTGACTTCGCTGCATGCGGTCTCTCTACCGAAAAAAAATACAACTTTTATATACACTTCAAACGACTTTCCGATTAGCTAAACATGTATTTTATCTCCGCAAGACTACCCCCGTGTTATCAGTTCCAATTTAGCAGCGGGACCCGTAAGTTGTAACTGATATTATAATGGAATTAAGGTAAATTACCCGTGCCATTTCCACCGTTGTCCTGCGCAGTTCGTCAGGCGGATTAAACCATATCGGCTTACATACCACGCGCGGACAATATTAAATGAATATCATTCGATAGTGATAGCGTAATACGAATTGTCAGTAAAAATCCGCTAACTGTTAAAGAAAAAGACAGTAAAAGTCGACTCGCGACTCCTGGGTCGTCATTCCATTAAGGAACTCCAAGAAGTCTGGACTGATCAGCGGGCACGAAGTGCATTTCGTTTAAAAAGATATTTCTGCTGTGGTCAGATTAACTAGAAATGTGCCCCGCTATACGGAGTATTATTGGGAAATATGATCGGCAAAGTTATTCCCAAAGCCCCAAATGAAGCTCAGGAAGAATCATTCGAAGGACTAATGATACCCATTGAACAACAAAATGGACAATGTTGCATGAAAGCTCCTTCGACGATTAATTCCTTGTATAACTGTTTACGTTTGCTTTTCCTTTTTTTTTTTTTAGAGCAACAAGTAAGCAAGGAGATGGAACTACGGCGAAAGGCATACCTGGCCATTCATCAGAAATACCTAGGTAGGGTGTCAAGTGAATAAAATTAGGGATAACATTTTGGGGTTTTTAGCTGCGGGATAGCAGCTCAACAAATCATCATGTCTCTCCGTTAGTCCGTTAGTAACAAACGAGTGTATATTGCTCCTACATATTTTGACCGATTTCAACCAAACTATGTCAAAAGTATCAGTAGCCCAGCCCAACATGTCACATGACCAAACTGGGGTCAAAGGTCATCATGGGGTCACTGGGGTCAAAAACCTGATTTTTGTCTCTCAAACCACTACTCCTTCCAGAAATTACATGGCACAATCACGTGTCTCATGCTTGAACACGAATTCGTTGGCCCGTAGCTTCCGAGGTATACCCGATCGAGCTTGTTTTTAGGGGGATTGTTGATAAAGGATTTATTTCGGGGAGACATTAAACGTCTTCTGTTTGGCAATTGGAAATTGTGTCAAAATGTGGATTTTATACTGGATGCAAGACACCATTAAATTGGATAAAATGGAGGATAAACAATAGCCCTAACAGTCCTGAATCCTCCAATTTCAATATGATTTTGCACACCCCCTAGGGAGTTGGGGTTAAAGGAACAACAAATAATGATAAAGACTAAAGAAAACTAAGCTGCGTTACAGGCTGAGAGAAATGACTATAATACAATGATAAATTTGGGCTATACACATCCTGTACTTTGACACATACTCTCGGGCAGCATATTGGGTTAACAACAGTAAAGGAGATTTATCAACACACCTTATTCTCGTTCACTGTAGTATTTGCTTTATGGCCTTCACATTGTCCTCTTCTTAATTTAAGGAACATCATCTTGTTCCCTTTTACTGACAGGCCTGACGAATTCTTATTCTTGTTTCTCCAGATAGCCAAGCCACTCTGAACCATTTTCCCCGTCGCCTTTTGTCTTCGCACGACGTTGGCCTGGACTAGAAGTCAGCACCAGCCGCGACGATGTGTATAAACTTTTATTGAATGAGTTAAACAGTTCGGTAATATAAAAGTTGAAAAAAATCAATGTATGTGATGCCGAAAAGCTACATGCAAATATGTGGATATCAGTGCATGCGAAAATAGAGGCAGATGTGACACTTATTTTGAATGCTGAACTGTAAAAATATAATTATGATTCTGTCTCCGTAGAGTTATTAAGACATTTTAATTATTACATTACTTTTTATTTCTAACCTGGACAAACTGTTGCACTAATTTCCAAGAAGAAAATATGACAAAGATTTGATACTCTGGGGACAGAAACCCCTAAATGCGAAGCACAGTGTAGAAAATAAACGGCGGTTGACTTTTTAAAATATATTTCTTTAAACAACCGTGACACGGTGACACGCTGCTTTGTTCTTCACTTCTATGGCACTGGCCAGTTATATCTCTAGCCTGATTTTTCAACTTGCGTTGTAGTTATGAGACAAATATCCCAAGTATAATGTTGCAATAAATATATTTCCGCTTTCGCTGTTAAATTGTGCACCTTGACACTTGACCACATCATTTGGTTGGAAAAAATATTATTGCACATTAATTTTTGCCGTTTTGATCACCCACAAAATAACTCACCACTCTTCTGTTAAAAAGAAAGTATAGTGAAATTTCCTTTTTTGAAATATTCAAAATGAACTTTACTGAAAGTTACATTTAATTCACATTATTGTGCCGTTGTTTTACAAGATTACACGTGATTTATGTATAACAATGTAATGGTTATGATAACCTACCTTTTCAGACTTTTGAAAAATTCTATATTCAGTCCAAATGTGCCACTTCATGTACCTTCGAATGATTAACTTATAATTGTCTTTGGTCATTGTTTATCACTGTTAATGTGTAAATATTTTCCTTATTTATTGAATCTTGTATTTATGGAAAATGTTCACCAGAGGGGTGAGTTCAATAGGGGACGTTGAACAATAGAGGACAATAGGGTCCCCAATTCCCGAGAGGTCCCCTATTTGGATTCGTGTACAAAACATATGGGAGGTCTTCCTAAAAAGAGTACAAACAAAAGAGGGACAATAGGGGGTCCCCGATTGCAGGCAAATACACACTTGTATGGGTGGGTTGGAGGTTGGAGGTTGGGTGGGTTTTGATGCTTGCTGGTACATTGAATTTCCTGCGCTCCATGTGACGTGAAATGGCCATGCAATTTGATGCAATGATTTAATGAGCCTCTTTTTTTTTAATTTAGTGGACAGTGACTTGAACAGCGCCCTCTATTTGTGTCCGCCATATCTCAAAAATGGTTAATGAAGAAGCAGTTTCTATATAAAAACAATAAGATAAAATCAAGACAAACATATCTCTAATCACGTTCTAACAGCCGCAGTATAGTTGCAGTCACTGTTCAAATACACCCACTGCAACGGATGATTGCCACGCCCACTGATTAGCATTCCGGACAGAATGTAGTATCCAGACGCCACAGTGGATGTGTACAAAGCCTATGGAGAGTCAAGACAATTTTCTAAGTATTTTGTAACAAAATGGAAAATGCTTTTTAGTACCAGATTCATGTCTTTTCAATATTTTTGCAATGACTGACCTTTATTGAGATGATATATGAAGAAAAAAAAGTGGCGTCGGGTTGCAACATTCTTTCCAGCATTCCTAGCATAATCCGACTTCGAGTGGAATTCCATCAGATTGCTCCACACAAGACATTTGGTGTCGAAATACGTATCTTATCGTACCAGGGTCCATATATTTCCCAGTCATTGATTATTTTATCTTCATAATGTCGTCTTCACTTCCAATTGTTGTGATTAATGTCAAATTGAAGTGACTGTTTTCCCTAACATTATATAAACCTGTGTGTCCAAATTCACAGTTACCGTTTGATTTATATTGTATTGGCCTTGTCATGAAATATAACCACGAATGAATCTATCTTTGATCTTCATTTCCTTGAAATATATTGGACAAAGAAACACTTTAAATGCAAAATAATATATGGTTAATAAAAGCTGCACCATCGAATCTGTATGAATCAATCCCCAAATTATTGCTTTCACTTATGTGCTACACTCGAAGGTTAACGTTCACTTTTGCTTCTTTGCATTCTGTTGATCTTCTTGTGAGCTGACTTTTGGAGCTGTCTTGTCAAAGAGCACGCAATTTTATCTGATGCCAAAAATCTATATAATTTTTATATCTTTATATTTAAAAATTCAAATTTGAAGATTGCGGACGCCACAACCGACATACCAACTTAAAGGGAATATACAACATTTGCAAACATCAAAAGATTGCAAAACTACCTAATTATTATGAAATGCCTTACTGGATGTTAGTGAATAAAAGTTTAAAGCATCCCATAAAGTCATGGCACCTCGTGTGCTGACATTTTTAAGAAATGTGGTATTTTGTAGCAATTTCCAACGCTGGTTGGCCGACCAACATTGGGGAAAAAACTGGCTTTTTTCAAATACTGCCCCCAATTTACCGTATACATGTAGTCAGAATTTGCTTTGCAATCGAATACATATATAGCAACTGATACAAGTATTTTAGACTAGTTCCCTGACCTTACAATTCCCCGACGTCTATAACTTACTCCTGTTTCAATTTAAGTGGGGTCAGAGAACCAGACTACAAGAACTGGATTGTTTTTCTTGGTTTTTCCAGCATCTACGAACAAAAATCTTCAAGTAGGCCTAAGTCAGTGTAACAATAATTTGCTACAAAATACTAATCTCCCAAATCCATCCATTTCTGAAAATTACAGCAAAAGCAAATGTTGTATATTCCCTTTAAAGAAAATCTATCGGTATTTCTGATATCTGACCTTAACTATTTTGGGCTGGGGTCGGCATGGGTCTAGGGGAGGAGTTTGAAGGGGTTGGGGGGGGGGGGGGTTGGCTGAGAAGTACTGACCCAAAGTGCAACCTTGAAATAACTCGCATTTCATTATACTTGAGATCAGAAAGATATCACAAATTTACAAAAGGCATTTGTATCATAAAGGTTTCCACAATTTTCATTTTTTATTTTATTGTAGACTACTCTAGAAGCATACATACTTCTACCGATCTCTATGTTGCGCTTTTATTCAAATTTCACACAGCTTTGCTCTCTGTATACAAGAATATTAAAAAAAATGAATCCCTTTATGTACATTCCGAGTAAAGGCAGAGTTATAGCTCAGACTACAGTTTAAGCTTAACGTCTACTTCTTATACAATTTATTTTGATGCCCTGCAGATCAGAAAAGAAAAAAAAAAGCTCTCAAAAAAAAAAGAATTTAGTGGAATTATCCAAAGGAATGGCCAAGAAGCATGACAAAAATCTTTGCATTCTATGCATGACACCTTCAGTTCACACAGAAATAATCAATTTTGAAAATCACTGATTCTCAATATTGGGTTTTGCCCTACTCCGATGTATTTTTGTTATTAACACTGTATACTCTGTGTTGTCCCGAGTGATAGTGAGAAAAACATTCACAAACTACTTGGGTGGGACTCGAACCCAAGACCTCCTGCTTACTAGTGCAGACGTCTTACTACTCGACCACCGAGCTTGCCGGGGTCGGCTGGCTGGGTTCGAATCTGATATAGCAGCGGGAACGCAACCAAACTATTCAAAAGTTAACTTAATTTTTTAAATCATTAACTTAAAAAAGTTAAAAGAAAAGCTGTCCTTTTTTTCCTGGTTCTACAGACTATGACTTCATTCCATTCAATCTTCCAAATTAAAAAAAAAACTCTAGAAATGCAGAATATGACAACTTGGAGGTTGTTGTCTACATCATGCAAACATTATCTGTCTCAAAGCAAGATGTGAAGTCAGTTCAACGGACTTGTGCTTATCAACAGGCTTAAATTTATCCGTAATTACCTGGCATGAAACGACAGAGATTATTTACATTTATTGCTGGATGGGATGCCAGTTCGCAGCTTGTTACTCCCCAGCTAATGCCGGTGTGCTATGAAGTTAGAGATTCCATGAACAATGCCCACGTCCTGGTCTCAACACACAACAGTGGCGCACCCGGGGGGGGGGGGGGGGAGCCCTCGGGGGGCTTGAGCCCCCCAAGAGGTTGTCAATTTTTTTTTTTTTTTTTTTTTTTTTAGTCCGTTTTTTTGGCCGTGGTGATATGAATGTGGCCTTTTTTTGGCGCCACCAACGTCAAAATAGGCCGCCCCTACAAAAAAAAAAAAAAAAAAAATTCTGCAGCCAAAAATTTTGGGCAAAATGTTTTGAAAAAAATTAAACTTTTAACAAATTTGTAACAAAATTTTTTTGAGCCCCCCCCCAACCAAATCCTGGGTGCGCCACTGACATAGGAGGAAGGTCCAGATGGAGTCAAATATACTTTGAGTATTTTTCTGAGTCCATTGTTATGACACAAGTAAGTATTTACACTCTTGGATGGAGGAACTTCAGTAGGTGGCTGTAACGTGCCTTGCGCAAGGACACAGCCCACCATTGGATTCGAACCCCTCACATTTCAAATCCAGCAGCTGCCCATGTGTTGAGTTACAATACTCAAATTGACAAGCATACAACCTTTACAGAATTGGATAAGAAGTATTTTTACATGTTATGTTTCTCAGTTTGTTAAGTTGATTTGAAAGACACCAAGAATATTTCACTTTCAATTAACATAAGTACATATATACCAATGCCAATTATGTACATTCAAAAAATGCTCCACTGTAAAAAAAAAAAACAATATGAAGAATTACAGAATATTTTTAGACATATCGTTTACATAAACTTCATTGATAAACTGCTGCAGAAAATAGATTTATTTCAAGATAGAAGTTTCTTCTTGCTGTCAATCTAATTTAGAAAAAAGAGCAAGATAGTTTGGAAGAACAAGGAAAGTTATCAAAATATAATTGTACATTATAGATATTTTGGTCTTTCTTTTATATTCAACCAGATACCAGATAGTCATTCCATAATGGTATATACATTATTCTAACATGCACCGAACCATTCAAACTCAAACATACAGTCGGCCCGCTAGAATACGATTATCAGTTTTTTTGTGTTCACCCTACTTTCATGTGAAACAGCTTCATGAGTTGAGCCTTTTGGCTTGAGATTGTTTATATGCATACACCTGCCCCTTCTCATAGGAAACTTTTATTTTCACCATGAGGTTTTTGATTATAGAAGTGAAACAATATTCATTAATTTAATAGCATTCCTCATTGGCCCTCTAGTGTCCAAAACATGAAAGTTACTGGCACTGACGTGTTGGCACTTCAACGCCAATGCCTGACTTATTCTAAAATTGAAGTTGATGTCTCAAGTGTAAGTTAGTAGTGCAAACAGTGCACCAAGGTATACACTGGTACACAAGCTACAACCTTTGAGAGCAGTCTTCAATTTGTTGAGAGGCCTGTATGCCACCTCTTTATGGGTGCGTTCGAGTAGCTCACCCGGATCGACTTTGGTCAGCCCTGTGCCGTTCGATTAGCTCTTGACGTCATTCTCGGGGCTCACCGAGGTCAGCCACCACAGACCCTGCTTGTGGAGCAGAGTCAGTGGTGGAAATACATCACACGCATGCATTGTTCGTTCCAAGAAACGGACAAATATGGCGGCCGGACAGCGGAAATCTCAAGTGGACACAAAAATCAACTGTATTTGAAGTCTAAAGATAATTATTTCTTGACTTCATTGCGACTTTCAAGGCTATAATTCCTGCCCAACTTTTTTGAGGTTTGCACTTGACTGAAAATGAGCAAATCTCAAATTAAGACCTAATCTGAAACGGGCGGCGTTTGTCAGTGGCTACAGCCACGGTTACGGACATCACCCGAGGATCGTGAGGGCCCGCAGTTGAGCGTTGGATTAGCCCTGCTGTTGTGGCCAACCCATCTGCCTTTACCGAGTCGATCCGGGTGAGCTACTCGAACACACCCTATATTATATACACAAGTGGGACTAGTGAAATGGAACTACCTATCAATGAAACACAATCACCTGAACTAGACTGCAGACCTGGCCTCATAATGTCAGGACAGACAATGACCTCTCTGTTTCTTACGTTTCATTGGTAGCTACGCATCTTTTCTGTAATCCGATTGGGCCAGTTTTCAAGTATGTGCACACGCTGAATAGAGTGGCCTTTGTGCGTGCCTCTGAATGATTCAATTTGAGCTGACACTATGTCAAAGGTCAGATGGGAACTACTGTGCCAGCTGTTCTCTGACTCTATAGTGGAATCCAGCGACCAGAATTTGAAGCTTTTACTGCGGTGGTGTCACGCTCACGCGCATGCGTTCTTAAAGACGAGGCACGTGCGCAAGTATTACCTGAGCGCGACTCACGTTAGCCCTACGCCACCACAGAAAATTGCTGCCGTCGGATTTGTCTATATTAGAGAGATATCTTTGAATGCATTTTAATCTCACAGATGCAACCAGGGGTTTGAAAAGCGAGGGTGGTACAGCATATGCAAATGATGGGAACCTCTTTCAACATGGCTACTTTTAAATTTTCTCATGCAGTTTGCAAATCTCAATGCTGGGATGTGCCTATTCAAATGTTCACATTTCAAATAAATATGAGCTAACAAAGTTTCCAAGACTTTATCGTGTGTGAAATATTCCAAAATCAGTTGAATGGAGTAGAATACATACACCTCTCTCTTCATATCTGTGCAAACTGTTTTGCAGAACTGTGAAGATTAAATGTTCATGATAACAAATAAAGATCTCTAAAAAGTGGCATGCTAAGGCAAGGATAAGCTGGGTGAAGTGGGTGGTACATATGACCACGGAAGGGGCAGGCGATAAGGCACATGGAATAAGAATTGCAATGCATCAACACTGCCTATAGATGACATATGTTCAAAATGGGCACACACACCTACTTTAACATCCCCTGGTTCCATCGCTTTAGAGTAATATACTACGATAGATATGGGTGCTTCACCTGTATCGCTGTAAGGCGGTGACTGGCTCTGACTCAACGGCTTCTAATCACTGTCCTCATCATCCAAGTAATCCTCATCATCGATTCCTGCAAATTTCAAACCAAAACAATAGTGAAGAAGCACAGATGACAATAAGCCTTTTCAGAGTTCCAACTGCTCATTCATAACCTGTGACAACGCGCATTATTTGTCTCAAATGGCCTTTGACATCATCGCGCCACTGACTTTACAAAAAGGCTGTTTGTGCATTGTGGGTACTGTCAAAGGGCATTTGAGACAAACAATGTGCGTTGTCACAGGTTACGAATGCGCGCAGTTGGAACTCCGAAAAGGCTTATACTGCAGTCAGGATTTTTCTGAATGAATACAAAGACTTTCAAATGTACACATCACTTGTGGAACACCCCACTTACACAACACTTACGGAGTACCTCACTAAGTTATTTATTTGGAGCTTGTAAAAATTGTCAATCACTCTTGTCCAAGGAAATATACAACATCTGCTTTTCTGAAATGGACAGATTTGATGGTTCGTATTTTATAGAAAAGATTGATCAACTGACTTGTTTAAAGTTTTGTGTTCATAAATGCCGAAAAAAAAAACAAGAAAAAATGCTGTTCTTTTAGTTCGCTTCCCCGACTATAAGCTTCTGACAAAACAGGACAATTTAAAGTCAGGTCAGGGAACCAGACTAGCTGGTTTATGGCCATTCACGAGTATGTTACGGAGTGAAAACAAAATGTTGGCTAACTAAATTCGGTTGAATCTACAGTCAAGTGAAGTATTTCATAATAATTTGGCAGGTTTTTTTTTGTTATGTTTTTCAACTGTTGTCTATTAGGCCAAAAAAAAAAATATTCGGTCTCTGGTCAGACCACAGTTCCGGAATTGACGCAGGGACGCGGCTTTGTTTTGTTTTTTTTTCTTTTTTTTTTTTTCTTCAAGCTTGGATTGTACAGACAAGGTGGGGTACTATTTTGCTTTTTTGGTGTCCTCATGAACATTGGTGTCCTCCACAATTTGCCTTGGTGCTCTCGATCATTTGCCTTGGTGCAATTTCCCATTCCTTGGTGCTCTTTGGTAAAAAAAATTGAGGAGGTGCGGCAAAAGAGGGCGCTGTTGGAGCTACCGCAGAACATTTTGGAAAAAAAAAAGATTGACGTGCATGATTAAAATCGACGCGCGCGCTGACCAGAGACCGACTTATTTTTTTTTTTGGCCTTAACTTGAACACAATGATAAAACAGTAAATAGATTTGAAGCAGTCACTCTCTTACTTGTTGTATGTGGGGCAAGTAGTGCAGCAGTCTGTGGGTCTTTGGAGGCAAGATCTATAGCTACCTTTCCTTCATTATTCTTAATATTTGTCCGTGCTCCTGAAAAAAAAATAGAACATTTTTGCGATGACAGATAAGCGTATTTGGAAAATCAAAGCACAGTATCCCACCACTAATTACAAAAAAACAGCCAGTATAAAAACAGCCAGTACGTGTAATCACGTCCGCCAACACGAACAGGTAAAGAGGCAGTTTAAAACCACCCACGTGATGAGCTCTGGACCAATAGGAATAGGTAAAATGTCTCGGTTATTTATGAATAATTGTTTAACCTTCAATTTAATTTGGGTAAACCCAAAAAAATTCAAGAAGAAGTTAAGGAGTTGCCTAAAGAACACCAGTGTGACTCAACCTCAGAGAGGAATACCAAATTAATGACTAATAATATGGACTGCGAGGCCGATGGGATGCAATAATTATCATCCCCAAGAGTTTTAAATATGGTCACAAAATGCAATTTCCACTCGCATGGACCACGCAGGAAACCTTGTACTTGTACCTGGGTCATTCCACTGGGTTGGGAAGCAGTGCATGTTACATCCATATATTTGGTTATATTATCAAAAGTATCAATGCATTCTTAACAATTGCTCAACATAATATTTGTCTTAGGGTGTTTCAATACTTGAGAAAGTTTGAAATCATTTGAAAGAACTTTGACAAAAATATGAGCAAAAATGTATTAATTCGGACGTAACATTGACACCGCGTCAATGTTACATCCAAATATTCTTTTTTCGCCATTTTTTACATGTATGTAAAATATTACCCAAACTGACTTTGCATATTTACAACTGGACACCTAAGCACCAAGAAAAGCTTTTGTTTTGGTATAGTCAGGGTTCAAATATTGCAGAAACAATACCTCAAGTGTGGATGTAACGGTGTAAAAATCACTTAATGGAAGTGTGACATTTGGGTTTTACACCGTGTAAATGTTACATCCACACAACCAAGTTATCATTTCTGCTCCATTTGATACCTGACTACCATAACAAAAGCTTTTCTTATTGTGTTGCATGTATAGTAAGAAGTACGCAAAGTGAATTTGGGTAATGTTTCGCAGAAATTTAAAAAAAGGTACAAATGTCATATTTGGATGTAACACTGGCACGGTGTCAATGTTACGTCCAAAATGACATTTTTTGCCCATATTTTTAGTTTCCATACATTGAAATGAATTGAAACTTTCTGCAGTGGTGAAACACCAAACAACAAATATTATGTAGAGCAACTGCTAGTAAGGCATTCATGCTTTTCTTAATATGGTCATATGTCACACATTGTTTCCCCAGCCCGGTGGAATGACCCACCTCTCAAAAGAGAAGTAAAGAAAAGAACAGCACACAAAGCACTTCTGAACTTACAAATCTAAAGTCATACGTGCCCCTCCTGAACTTCAAAAGGTTCCGAAGCTTGTAGGATATGGCGCACATGTTGACCAACAATTACGGTAGGTACTGAAGGTGTTGGTAATTATGGTAAGTATGTCTTTTTTTAAAGACAGGTATATGAAGTGAATGAGAAATATGAGACCCATTATGTAGCACCTTATAAGGGTTTACAAGGTGCTGTGCACATATTGCAGCCACTGCCAGATACACCGGGGCAAACCCCTTCTCTTAGCAATATTTTTAAAGTGTTACAGGATTCTTTAATGTGCATTACACAACACACGGGACCTACGGTTTTACATCCCATCCGAAGGGCGAAGCAATAATGGTAAAGTGCCTTGCTCAAGAGCACAAGCACCATGTTCCCAGTCAGGGTTCAAACCCATGTTATACGGCACACGAGTCAAACACCGTAACCATTGGCCACAGCACCCCACAAATCATCATCAACCCCAAGATATGCCACAAAGTTACACCCTTGACTGCAGCACTGACCTTTATCCAGCAACATTTTGACGACCTCTGGGTGACCCTTCCAAGCGGCTGCATGTAACGCCGTGTCCCCGATCTTATTCTGTGTGTTGATCTCCACCCTGGGCTGACCCAGGAGAATACTGACGCACTCAATGTGGCCACCGTGGGACGCCCAGTAAAGAGGAGTTGACCCTGACTTGTCCAATCCGTTAACGGACACCTGTGATCATACAGCGGGACAGAATTAACAATAGCATGAGTTGCTTGATTAATTAACCCTAACTCCCTAGGCATTTTCCTAGGATGTAGCCTCAATCCTGCAAAATCCTCCAATTGGCCTCATGGAAAAATAGCATATAGCCTCAATCCTGCAAATTCCTCCGTTATTTCTTGAATATGGTCCATGGAGAGGTGACCACTGCCTGAATCCTGCAAAATCCTCCAGCTATGACTGTCAATGGACTGAGGCAGAGGCAGTGACATCCTGGAGCAGTGCGGAGGATGTCAAGTATAATCAAGGACTAAATTTATGCACGGCTGAGCATAAACAACACAAGGTCGGGCCCAAGACCTTGACACAGTGCGTACTCCAAATCAGCAATGCACTTTTGCCATGTAACCTCAATCCTGCAAATTCATCCAATTTGCAAAAAGGATTTTGGAGGATTCAGGGCGGTCAGGGTTAACACTCATCATCTACTGGCAGATTTTGGAGGATTTTTGTAGGATTTAGGATCATATTGTTAAAAGATATTAAATGGGGCTTGATGCCCTGTCAAAGTTAAATATAAACAATTTGCCAATGGTTTACTGCACAAGGTGGTAGTAAACAATTGTGCACAAGGGCACACATTTTACGTGTGTCATCAACGGACTCCAAAAGAACATGTGCACATGTTTTCTCTTTTTCTCTCAAAATGTAAATAGTAGCCACTTAGCTAAAATTTCAACCAGTTAGTTATTATGCACCCTACTTTTAAAGGGAATGTACATCATTGGCTTTTGCTGTAATTTTCAGAAATGAACTATTCGAGAGGTCAGTATAATAGATCAAATATTGTTACACTGACATTTTTGAAGTTTGGTGTTCGAAAAGGTTGGAAAAACCAAGAAAAACAAAAATGTTCAAGTTGTCTGGTTCCCTGACTCCACAAAAGATAAAATGGATCAATTTATAGATGATGGAAAATTGTAAGGCAAGGGAACCAGTCTAGCTGGCCTGCACCCGTTCATCATGAACATGTAACCAATAGCAAACAAAATTTGGACTGAAAAAAAAATGGTAAATTTGGAGCAGTAGTTGAAAAATAGTTAGGTTTTCCCAACGCTGGTCGGCCGACCACCGTTGGAAATGTTTACCAAAAAATACCATTTTCTTGAAAATGACTTCAGACCAGGTGCCATAATTTTACAAGATGCTTGAGACTGTCATTTACCAACATCCTAGTAAGGTATTTTGTAAAAACTTGGTAGTTTTATTTTTCAATGTTTGCAAATGTTGTATATTCCCTTTAAGATTGTGAAAAATTTAGTTGCTTTAAACAAAAAGTGCACAAATAGCAAATGATCCCGTGTTTGGAAGTTGTGAAATCAGTTTGTGTGTGCGAAGTAAGTTTTTAACTTTCTTTTCTTTGTCTGCGTTGATATGCTTCACACAACAATAAGCCTCTGTACTGATGACGACACACTTTGTTTGTGTGTGCTTTCCTACGGTGCTCAGTGGACCGTGAGGCCCCACTGGCTCCATAGGAAAGTGCACATGTAAACAAAGTGTGACGTCATCAGTACAGAGGCTTATTGCTTTTACATTGTAAGTTTGCAAAAAACTTGACCATATCATAGACTGATAATGAATTAAATATGAGAGTGTTCTTGAACTCTGTTCCCTTAGTCCACATAATCAAAGTTTTATTCAAGAAGTTCAGCGCCCTATGGACCTCGACATGGCCCTCAAGCCTGCCATACACAAGAGCTACCGGTACGTGCTGAGCAAAAAGTCATTCGAGGCCGTTTGCTCATCACGTAGCTCACTGTGTGCGGTGAATTTTGCCGAGTTTTCTGCATTGCGAGCCCATGAGGCAAATATCTATCCTGTTTGATTTCTTTCGTCTCGCGAGGTGAAAAACTCACCGTGAGCGGTTAACCCGAGCTACGCGCTGAGCTAATAAGATTAACTAACCAATACAAGCATATTATTCCTGGTTGTCGGTCGCGTGATTTAAAAAATGGAGCCAATGGCCAATAGGCTTTAGAAGATTTGCACAAAAATATCTTAAAGTCACAAGTACAGAGTACGTGATTTCATTGGCTAGTTAATCTTTTTGGCTCAGCACATAGCTCAGGTTGACCGCACATGGTCAGTTTTTCGCCTCACAGCCTCGCGAGGCAGAAAACTCAGCAAAAATTCACTGCACACAGGATATTTTGAGAGCTACGTGCTGAGCAAATGGCCTCGAATGACGTTTTGCTCACCACATAGCCCTCGTGTGCGGCGGGCTTTACTCGACTGTCAAAGTACCTTGGTAGTACACTTCGAATCGAGATCAACAACCGTGCAACTCCCGAGGTGACACCTTCCCTTTGCTTCGGTACAAAACGGCTGTTGGATCTAAAGCTGCCACTGAATATCACAATACTATTTTCTGTTAATTGGAGTTGGGGGATACTTACAAGATTTGCAAGCGACTCTTTCAGGAAGTCGACATTTCCTCGTTTCGATGCTTCGTGGAGAGGATTGTCTATCTGTGCTGCACTCTGCTCAACTAAAAAAGGAGAATTCAGGGATTTTAATCAAAACATTTCAAATACAAGACTTCTGAAAAATTGGGGGAAAAAAATAAAAATTGTGAGCCCCCCCAAAGCCAAATCTACATATAATGGTAGAAATGCAAGAGTTACAAACAACAAAATTGTGAAATAAACCACAAAGGGAGAAAAATCAATATTAGTTTGAATAAAGTTGTCTTTGTTGCCTATTATTGGTCAAAAAAAAAAAATGCTAGAGAAGTGTCCTACTCACTGTAATTGCTTGGGATCAGCCCAGACTTCTTGCCACATCGAGCCTTGTACCAATCTTTGTTGGACTGAAAAAAAAGATGGAAAAACAAAAACACAATGTTCCGTCAGGTTTCTATACAGGGTGAGTAAAAAAAAACGTAACCCAAATGTCGGGACCATTTTTTTAGTGAAGTTCTGCATGTAGCACTTTCAAAATCTAGGATATGAAAGCCCAATTCATAAGATTTCTTTTAGTACAAGAATCATTCAAATCACTCATGTACTTTTCAAGTTACTGAATCTTAAACACGACCTCCGTTTTAAGGTTTTATCCACGGATCACCAAAACAAATCACATTGGGATGTGTGTGAATTGTTTTCGTTTTGATGAAAGAACGCACGCCTTGTTTGTGATCCGTGGACTGAACTTTAAAACCCTGGCTGTGTTTAAAACCCCGTAACTTGAATAGTACATGAGTGACTTGAGTGATTCTTGAACTAAAATAAAGCTTATGAATTGGACTTTTATATCCTACATTTAGAAAGTGCTACACGTATGCAGAACTTCACTAAAACAATGGTCCCGACATTTGGGTTTCGCTTTTTTGACTCGCCCTGTACTGCCATTAACTCTTGAGTAGAGAGTTGACAGATGGATAAGCTTCTTAGCCTCTACTCGCATGATCTGTAGATTGTCTTGGATCTGTTTAAAGTTTACTTCCAATTTATAAAACCAAACAGTTGTCTTCTTCTCTCCACACATTTCTATGAAGCCCGGGAAGCAATTTACTAAATCGTTTATTCGTACGATTGACTAATTCTTCCCCCAACTCACTAAATGGTTCCCACGATTTACTACATGGTTCCCACGATTTAGCTAATTAATAATGGTTCCCACGATTAACTAAATGGTTCCCACGATTTACTAAATGGTTCCCACGATTTACTAAATGGTTCCCATGATTTACTTAAGCTAATTAATTAATGGTTCCCACGATTAACTAAATGGTTCCCACGATTCACTAAATGGTTCCCATGATTTACTAAATGGTTTCCATGATTTACTAAATGGGTTTCCATGATCTACCAATTCGTTCGCACGATTTGCTAACTCACTCCCACGATTTACTGATTCGTTTGCACATTTTACTAATTTGTACGCAAGATTTAGTAAATCATGCACACAACTTAGCAACGGCGGGAAAAATAAGTCCACTGTGTCCCTTCCTAGGCTTCATACACTTCTTTAGGCATGTGGACTACAGTGCAAAGAATATTTTGAGGTGGTCTTAGTTTTCTTAAAACACCAGAATAATAACAAAAACCTAAGTTAGACTTGAAACTTTGCATGGTGGTGGTATGAACTAATGAAGGTTTGCAGTAACACAATGTAGAAATCTCTTTTGGGAAGATGTGTGGTTCTGAAAAGATGATCAGGGCATACTGATCGGAACGTCGACGATCAGAGCATACTGATCGGAACGTCGACGATCAGAGCATACTGATCAGAACGTTGAGTTTTACAACCCACTGGTTCTTTTCAGAACCACACATCTTCCCAAAAGAGATCTCTACACGGTGTTACCACAAACCTTCACAAAAACAAAAGCCTAAAAAACAAACATGGAAACTCACCATGTCTGTGACATACAGCAGATCTCCCTCCTCAAAAGTAAGCTCATCGCTCTGTAGAGTAACGAAAGTATAAAATTATAAGCAACATATTAGAAACACACAGCATGTGGTCTGCTGGGAAGGTTGCCCAGCTAACATCATGCTGCAGGGAGTACCTGATAGGGCAAGAACGAAAGGAATACTACCAAAGAAATAGACGGACAACATGAAGGTCTAGACCAACCATAGAGCTATTTTAAATTACTAGAGCGCTAACTTCGTGTACAAAGTAATGCCTGCTGGGCGCATCCACGTTTGTGCACAAACCTATGGAGACCTAGAAATTTTGTACGGCTTTTGTACGGCTATTTGCATCTGCGTTTGTATTCCATACCAGTGCGTTATCGAAGCCAATACGCCCAAAACCAAAATGCACGATCAGCAAATGAGCGTGTCATTTTGCTCTACACAAACAGCGCAACGCGTGCGCGTGTTCGCTGCAGATGCTTTTTGCCGTCACGTTTTTTTTAACCGTCAATGACGCGCTTAAGTTGTATGTTCTACTTGCGCGTTGCATGTAGAGTACACTTTCAAAATTAAATCCATCTAATTTCATTATGTTCTACCAAAACGTACATAAATTCAAAATGTTTGCCCCCAGGACGGTTTCAAAGCGTCTCCGCGCACAGAATGATGAGTTAGCGTTCTAGTAATTTAATATAGCTCTATGAGACCAACTCAGATTGACTGCTGACTAAAGAACTTGTGTCTTTACCGCTATAGGGCTGTGCATTGGGACCGAGTACCTACTCGGTGCTTGGTTGGTGCTTCTCCTAAATACTCCACAGGAGGCCAGAAACACTGGGGCAAACCCCTTCAATAGCGATAAGTGTCACTGGTTTTTTTACGTGCATTTCATTACACAACACATGGGACTAATGGTTAAGTGCCTTGCTTAGGGGCACAAGTGTTCAGACCCGGGCTCAAACCCACATTCTGCTGCCTCTAAAACACCAGAGCATGAGTCTGGTGCGGTGCTCTCAACCGCTGGGCCATGACACTCCATAGTGAGCTACCTGATCACTACCTGACCGCTGATGTCAGGAATCGGTTCCAGATTATGGGATCGGGGGAAAAAAAACAACATATCACATTTATGGTGCTTGCGAAAGTTGCAGTTTACACCGTAAAGCTATAAAGCTCACTGTACACACTTCTTTCGTGCAGTATTGATGCACTGATGTGGTACTATTATGTGATGTGCTGTGGTCCAATGGTTACGGTGTTCAACTCGTGTGCTGTGGGTTCCAATCCTGAGCGTGGGAACATGGTGCTTGTGCTCTTGAGCAAGGTACTTTACCATTATTGCTTCGCCCTTCGGATGGGACGTGAAGCTGTAGGTCCCGTGTGTTGTGTAATGCACGTTAAAGAACCAGTAACACTTATCGCTAAGAGAAGGGGTTAGCCCCGGTGTTTCTGGCAGTGGCTGCTTAATGCGCCACAGCTCCTTGTAAACCATTATAAAGGTGCTACATAATGGTTCTCATATTTCTCGTGTACTTCATTTACCTGTCTCTAATTATAGAAATAATTTCCAGCGCCTTGAGTACCTAATTGTTAGTAGATATGTGCGCTATATAAGACTTTGGTATTATTATTATTATTATGTGGACCTTGAAGAACAATTTGAATGGCAACTTCTGTGATCTAAATTTCGGGGTCGGGTTTCTTTAACGGGTACCTGAGTACCGTGCTCTTTTCAATCGGGTACCTGGTTCCCGTACTACCCGTACATGCACACCGTTAACATCCAGTCAGTGAGATACATAAAGTGGACTGTAGTTTGGCCAAACGGGACCAATCAGAACACAACTTGTACAGCTACAGTTTATTGGTTGTCAACATTTTTTTACTTTTTTTTTATTTTTATTTTTTTATTAAAATATATAGCTCTCCTTCATTCTGGGGTTCTCATCAATTTGTTATTAACCCTAACCCCTTTGGTGTTTTTTAATACTAGAAAGTATCCTGAATCCACCAAAATCCAACAATTTTGCCATGCAAAAAAAATGGTGGTGGCCAGTGAGTCCATCAGAATCCAGCAGTTAGCCGGGAGTAAATCTGTTGAGATCCTAAATCCATGAAGTCCCCCAACTGCTCAATAAGGAGGTATCCTGAATCCACCAAAATCCTGCAGTATCGTTAGGCTTACTGTGCGGAATCCATCAAAATCTCCCAACTTTTTCAATATGGAAGTATCCTGCATCTACCGAAATCCTCGGGTGTGGATTCAAATGGATTCAGGTACGTTGGGTTAAAGTGAAACAAACTTACATGTTGGGCCTGGTAGTTGTACAGGGACCGGAAAACTTTGACCTGACCTGAAAACAAGACAAAAGATATAAACAATTAATTATAGAATGATCACAATACTTGTTTAGCCACATTTCAGGTTTATCGGTACTGCCATAATACATGTACCTATAGGGCCTATTTTGCATTTTGAACGATGATGCTGAGTCGGGAACTAGGGCAGAGCTCAGCGGAAACCAGTTCAAGCTAGTTCCCGACTCCGTATCATCGTTTGAAATGCACTTGAGTGTACAAACGAGATCCGGTCCACTCATTATCATAAGGTAGTGGATATTTTGCCGGAGGTAACGCCGGCAAACTAACGTTTACTAAAGGTTTGCCAGCGGCAATCCATATCAACAGAGGGCGCTGTACTCTTTAAGATAGGGCTGAATTATAACATGTTTCAAATTCCCACTAAAGTTGTATAGCACAGTCGGTGCAGTGATTAAGCAATGGCTCTAGTGAGTGGGATGTCCTGAGTTCGAATCCTGATCCCCGCCACATTTTTAAGGTTTTTTTTCCCATCCCCAAATAAATAAGAATATTCTTCTTTTATTATTTTAATATGTCTCAAACATTTTATTGCAGAGTATTACTTTTTCTTTTTCAGATTTGTGGCTCTGGAGGATTTTTTTTTAAAGGGAAATAATTAAAGTCCGAAATTATAAAATGGTCTGATTCCCATCTTGTAAATACAAAAATACAACGATAATATTGGCATGGAGCCAGACTAAAATTTGTCACCGGAAAATGTTTAACTTACTTTAAGTCCCGAAAAACAGTAACTGCGCATGTTCAGTGCATATCCGGCAAGCTAACGTTTACTGAAGGTTTGCCGTCTCCGGCAAAAAATCCACTGCCTTATCATAATCGATGCGTCGCGCTCGGTAAGGGAATCGCACTGGGACCTTTAGAAGCAAACTCACCCTAGGCTAATCAGAAAGTGCTGCCTTTTTCAGATGTCTATTTTTCGTGAAATTTCCAGATTTGTTTGCACACATTTGCGTATCAAAATTTTTAACATGAAATTTCACGAAAATTAGACATCTGAAAAAGGCAGCACTTTCTCTGATTAGCCTATAAAGTATACGCAGTGGCTATTGTTACGGCAGCCGTAACGCATTTCCCATTTTCTATCGTTATGGTAGACTGCAACTTTTATAAAAACATGAGAAGAAAATATAAAATTAGAAGGAAAAAAAGTGAATTTGAACGTTATGAAATTCGGACTTTATTTCCCTTTTAAAAAAAATCCTCCAAAGCCTCAGGTTAGAAAAGGAAAAAAATTCGAGTGCAAAACTGAGATGCGAACCCGCAACCTAGCGGTGTAAAATCCTACCCTGTATCGCCTGAGCTGTCGCATTGCTCGCTAAAACGTGTGGAAACAAATAATTATATACCTGTGTGCGTATCAATAAAGTATCGTAGAGGGCGCCAAACAACGGCTGCCGTAACAATAGGCACTTCGTAAAGTATAAGAGGGTGAGTATGGTTCTAAAGCAATAATAAACTACAAACTAAGCTTAAATGCGAAAGTCAAAATTTGACAAACTTCGACATGTTTTTGTACATGGTGGAAGTGTGGCCTTTATTTACGGAGGTAGTCCAGTAAATTGGCCACATTTATGGGGCTATTGGATTGCCTATGGTACAAACATGACAAACAAACCAAACTCCAAAGTGGCGTCTGGATACCACATTCTTTCCACACCGTTTTCCGAGAAATACCCTTCCGATTAGTTTCATTTCAGAGGAATACCTGGTTTAGGAACCGGCTTTGGCGGTGGCGGTGCACTTCTTGCTGGAGTAGTCATAACTGAAAGCCAATATGCAGTTCAAGAAAAGGGGAAAAACTGTACTCCGAGCTAGCTCCGATGACTGCAAGAACCACTCACGTTTACGTTTCCGGGTGAGGTCTGACTTCTGTCGCTATCATCGCGATGGAGTTTCGCCATGCACAAGTCCGAGCCAGACTACTGAGCCGAACCCGGAAGTGTTATTACTAAAGTTCAGCTTAGAAATTAATTACCTACGATGTTTGCGACCTTCGCGTACGTGTTGTAATAGACTAGCGTGTCCGAATGACAGGTAGTAATCCGATTTGTGATATGAAAACAAAATAAACCGCAAACTTCGTGTGCACGACGAAGCTGTCACAGATCTATTTTTAGTACTGTTCATTTTGCTTTAAAAACATGAGCAATTAGCTGATACTGAGTTGACTGAGTGTATAAAATTAGGTGTCTTTTCTTTACATCTCACTTGCAGTATGGATGACGGAGAGGAATTACCACTTTCAATCCCTGTAAGTTTAACCATTTTTATGCGACCGGTGCCATTCTTCTTGTGATCTTCCTTGATGATCAGTCACACTGCATGTGTTGTGCCCATTCTTGAAAATCACGCATTCTCGAGAATGGGCATGCACATTCTTGAGAATGTGCAACTGGATCCTTGCTCGGTACAACTATAGAATGCAGGGCCACTTTACTCTACATCCGCGCCTCCGTACGGCTGCGTGGAGGCGTGGAGCCGCAGTCGACCTACCTCCGAAAATCGATCGTGGAGTCGTGGAGCCGCAGAGAATTGCGCCCTCTATCGGTGCGCGTCTCTGCGACTCCGCGACTCCGCGCCTCCGCGACTCCAGACAGTGCCCCGTCGCCCTCCCCCCCCCCCCTTCCTAATTGGCCCGCCCAATTAAAGCGACTCTGCGACTCCCCGACTCCGCGCCTCCGCGACTCCAGACAGTGCCCCGTCGCCCTCCCCCCTTCCTAATTGGCCCGCCGATTTAAAATGGATATGGATGCTTCGTTCTCAAAAAGATTCCGCCGAGAATTGCGCCCTCTATCGCTACGCGTCTCTGCGACTCCGCGACTCCGCGCCTCCGCCACTCCAGTGCCCCGCGTCTCCGCGATTCTGCGACTCCAAGACTCCGCGCCTCCGCCGCTCCAGACAGTGCCCCCAACACATTTACAAGCACGCCCTCCCTTCCGATCCTTCATGAGAAGCTTTGAAGACAAGTGCAGTGCATTCCTTCGCTGTACTTAGCACTTTTTTGCAGGTTTGCATATCTATTACTCCTATTCCATCCACGCCTCCAGGCAAAATAAAAACCTTGCTTCGGCGTGGCCCTGCATTCTATAGTTGCTCCCCTTGCTCAATCTTGGCAAAAATAACTCTTCCAGATTGAGCGCACATTCTTGAGAATGCGCGACAAGATAACGGTCTTGTCGATGCCGAGCACCGGCTGCGCTTGGCAAGTCTAGCTGAATCCTCGTTCACTGATTCTCAATAATTATACTGTTGCAACGCAAGGCGCTGAAAAGTAGAGTGGCTATGATAAGTAAAGGCGTATTGATATGGGGGGGGGGGGGGACACCGGGAAAATATAAGAGACATAATAATACTAGTGCAAAGAATTCTGATTTTTGGGATAATAAAAGCGGGGGGGACGGGGGGGGGGGGGGGGGGGGGGGGGTAAGAATGAAGAATGAAGAATGAGAATGAATACTGCTACATCCCATAGTGCTAATGCTATTTCCCATTTAAATTGCCACCAATTTATTGTTCCCATCCCACCATAACGTCGCAGAGCTGGATTCTATCTAGTCAAAAGAGCAATTTTGGCAGCTTCTGGACATCGTTTTTTTTTCGTGGCACGCATATGATACATGCAGGGACTTGTAACTTGTCTAGCCTAAACAAAGCACTTCCCAGACTAGTTCCCAGTTCTCTGTTATTACAAAACTTCCCATAGTGGGCAGAAAAAAGCAATAATAACAGGTTTAATTTGATTCAAATTATCGTAGTTATACGAGTACAGAAGCATAGCACATTTTCTTTCCTCTTTATATGAATTGTTTCCCTTTTAACCGCTATACAATTCATTTAACATAATTATGTCGTGCAATGTTTGTTAAGATTGGGCAAAATTCATAAATTGTGCACGTGATATTCCCACCCAATCTTATGAATGAGCGCTCATTCTTAAGAACGCGTGCTCGTTCTTAAGAATGGGCGCTCATTCTTAAGAATGCGCGCCCATTCTCGAGAATGTGCATGCCCATTCTCGAGAATGCGTGATTTTCAAGAATGGGCACAACACATGCACACTAGTCCGAACACGGAGGAATAAAAACACACGGATCGCTTTTTTAAGCGATCCGGCCGTAGAGTCCTAGTTACTCGGACTACATGTACACATACATGACGTACTGGGGCATGTCTGGAAACTCCACTTGACTTTGAGTTTGTGCTGATTTCAAACCAATTTGTCATGTTTGCCATATTTGTGAGATAGTTCGTTTTGCTTATTTTAATTTTCTGTGTTTGGTCTGTTGGGAAAGAATGCCCTGACGCCACTTGCTTGTTTTATGATCTCAATTCTCAATGAAGGTCAGCCGTTGCAAAAATGTTGATCTGATGAAAACATGAACATTTCTTGGTAACATTTTTGCACACACATGGGTACACCAAGGCACAGAGTTTAGTCCGGTGACTGGCCATAGACATGATAGACGGGGGTAGTCCAAAGGTTAAAAAAAGGTGATTTTGCCAGATATTTCACTCCCCAATTTAAATAATCCATATAAAAATGATTCTTTTCTCAGTAATCCTTACCTTTAGGACCCTGTTCCTATATTGTTGATGTACCCTAACGTGGCGCAGCCCCTAACGTGGCGCACTTTGATTTTTCGCCTGTAGCGCCTAGCTAGAGCAAAAGTTTTAACTGAAATTTCACAGAAAGCGAAATTTCATCAAGTTCTAAACACTCCCGTTCATAAATCGCGAGTTTATTTACCCGCTACAAAGTTAAAAGGAAAATTTATTTTGGCGTGATTTTGCGATTTTAATTTTTATTTTCAAGTGCAAAGTGAAACCTTTGAAAATGCCCCGAAAAATAAGAAAATAATGTTCTGACAAACATCTGGCTGGGTATGTAAGTAGAAATAATAATGATTTATCAGAATTGATCAAGTTTACAGAAATTCTTAAATGTTAATTTGGAATTTTCTGAGATTTACTTAAGTGCGCCACGTTAGGGAACACTCCGCCAATTTGTGCCCAATTTCCGGACGCCACCGTTTTTCAATTTCGGCTTAAATTTTATGAAACCGAAATTGTTCATGGAGGTTAAATAGCAAGCATTAATAAGGTAAAAGTACCATTATTTTACTGCATGAATTTGAGGTTTGTCAACAAAGAGGTTTGGCAACACTACACGAGGAAAGTTGGGTAAGCTTCGAAGTGCGCCACGTTAGGGAACACGACTATATAGGGTTAAAAGACTTACCAAAACAGCTGACTAAATGACACTCAAAAGTGACATTCTGATAATTGTTGACGCGTCTGAACAGTTGGCAATGACATCTTCTTGAATATCAGCAGGTTAATTTTTGTGGAAAGAGGGCAGGGCTTTGATTTATGAGGAGTTAAAGACGACGATGACAAACAAAAAATATATTTTAAAAAAGCAAGATGGCGAACTGCAAATAAAGGTAGGAAAGTCACATTTTCTTTGACAGTGCTTTCAAAATTACAACTGACATGAGTTTATCTGTTAGAAAAAAGACTTCTTTAGCCTGCAAAAGTCACTTGGTACTGGGCAGTCATCTGCAAAAGTCAATTTTGAACAGAACTTGTAAAAATAGCGGTGTCCTAAAGATAAGGATTACCCTTTTCTCCATGACTATGTACGAGCAGGTCAAGGCAGTGTCAGAGCACTTCACATGCCCCATATGCATGGAGAGACTGTCCCAGACATACATCACGCCCTGCGGCCATCGCTATTGTGGTAAATGCATCAAAGAGTGCGTCAATAGGAGGTAAGAGAATGGTTTGGCATTCATTGCATGTATTGTTGATGTACCCTAACGTGGCGCGGCCCCTAACGTGGCGCACTTTGATTTTTCGCCTGTAGCGCCTAGCTAGAGCAAATGTTTTAACTGAAATTTCGCAGAAAGTGAAATTTAATCAAGTTCTAAACACTCCCGTTCATAAATCGCGAGTTTTTTTTACCCGTTGCAAAGTTAAAAGAAAAAATTATTTTGGCGTGATTTTCCGATTTTATTTTCAAGTGCAAAGTGAACCCTTTGAAAATGTCCCGAAAAATAAGAAAATAATTTTCTGACAAACATCTGGCTGGGTTTGTAAGTAAAGATAATGATGATTTATCAGAATTTATCAAGTTTACAGAAATTCTTAAATGTTAATTTGGAATTTTCCGAGATTTATTCAAGTGCGCCACGTTAGGGAACACTCCGCCAATTTGTGCCCAATTTCCGGACGCGACCGTTTTTGCATTTCGGATTAAATTTTATGAAACCGAAATTGTTCACAGAGGTTAAATAGCAAACATTAAAAAGGTAAAAGTACCAGTATTTCACTGCATGAATTTGAGGTTTATCAACAAATAGGTTTGGCAACAATACACGAGGAAAGTTGGGTAAGCTTCGAAGTGCGCCACGTTAGGGAACACGACTATATGCGTTATACATTACTCAGCTATCTCTGGAGCCTTTATCAGCTTTGAGCTCCGTGCTCTAACAAAAGAGGGCGCCCTTTTACAAAGCAACGACGTCCCAAGGGCGGGACATTTCGCTGGTTGACGCGCACTGTTTCTTGTGTGTGATGCACGTACACCAGGGGATTTGTACTATGTACACGCAGTGGCCGTGATTCGCAGCAAATGAATTGCAGTCAGGCAAGATGGTGTCGGTCGGTCACCCCCAACTGTACTCACTTTGCCGGTGAGGGGGGTACTTGTGAACGGAGCGGATAGACTCCTCTTTCATTTTTTTTGCTCAGTCATCTGTGACAATGACTTAAAAATGACTCAAAATTAATATGACTGGATAGAGGATATCCTGGCCTTTTTCCTTGTAGTTCAATCTTTCTAAAATATTCAGTACATTTCTGATAATTTACAATTAAAAATAGGTACACTTTAGTTTGAGATACGCTGTTTTGCATTAATTCCGATAACTGGGTTTTATTCTTTCTTTTTTGATATGCAGATCCAGATGTCCATGTTGCAACACGAAAGTGACAGGAGACAAGCTGTTCCCTGATTGGGCGTTTGATAACCTCATTAGCATGGTTTCCACGGAGAAAAACAAAGCAGAGGATATGTACTTTGTGAAGTTAATTCAAGAAGCAGGTACTAAAAAGTTAGCCTTTAATAGTTATCCTGCATTTTTCAAACTCTCATCGTTTTCCCCTTCTAAAGGCCGGTTCATACTACATGCGAATGTGAATGCAATGCTAATTTGATGTCATGGAGCATTCGTTGCGAAATTTGCTGGAGTTGAAATGTGTTCAATTTTTGCCCTGACCTCACAAATTCTAGTTCGCATTCGCTTTCGCGCCGAGTATGAACCGGACTTAACACAAAAAGTGGAAATTTCCATCACAGTAAATGTTAAACATTACAGTAAATGTTAAAGATTGCCTGGGAATCAAAGTCAAAAATTGTTTTGAAAAAAAAAACAGGTTAAAGGGAAGATACAACATTTGCAAACATCAAAAAACGAAATGATCAAATTATCACGAAATACCTTACTGAATTGGTAGGGACTAGTCCAAATCATCCTTTAAAATCGTGGCTCCTGGTGTGCTGACATTTTAAAAAAACACTGTATTTTTCCAACGCTGGTCGGCCGACCAGCGTTGGAGAAAACTGGCTTTTTTTCAAAAACTGTTCCTAAGTTTTCGTATTTAGTTATTTTGACTTTTCTTTGCAATTGATTACACACATGTGAAGGGGTACAAGCCTGCTAGACTGTTTCTCTGAGCCTACAATTCCCCAAGTGTATTAATTGCTCTGTTTCATTTTAAGTGGGGTCAGGGAACCAGACTACAAGAACATGATAGGTTTTCTTGGTTTTTCCAGCGTCTACAAGCCCAAAACGTGAAACAAGTCAGTTTAAAAAATATTTTCTATAACATACTAATCCTCCAAATCCATTTATTTCTGAAAATAACAGCAAAAGCAAATGTTGTACATTCCCCTTAAGCTGTTTTGTTTCTGTCATGACAAGTGTCTTGAGTTAGATATTTTACTTCAGATAGTATCCTGCCTGCAGTGGGTCAAACTTAAAGTAGACTCACACAAACAAGCACGACCACAGTACTTGCCACTTAATGCTTGTTTATGTAATGTGTAATGCATTTCAAAATTTGTTTTGCTTTCAGGTCATCAAGAAAAAGAAGAGACAAATTCCAAGGAGGAGTCTCCAATTGTGGGTACATTACAAAGTAAGACTTGACATAAAATTTTACGGGGGAGTGTGGCTTAGAGGTTAGGGTTTCATAACTCGTGATCAGAGGGTCAGGGGTTCGAATCGAGCTGCTGGTCATATGTTGTGTCCTTGGGCAAGCCACTTCATCCCCACTTGCCTCTCTATCTCTACCCAAGAGAATGAATGGGTACCAGCATTAGCTTGGGAGTAACCTGTGATGGACTAGCATCCCATCCAGGGGGAATAGGAATATCGTCAGTCGTTTAATTCTACTGAAACTGGAGATAAACGCCGACCTGATGGGCCACATTGGCTCGTGACAGACTTTATTATTTCTTATTTCCAATATTTGCACCTTCCTTATGGTAATTTTTGTGTTATGATTATGTCAATTTTCAAAAAATATGCCACCATGAACCTTGCCAGTTTGAGTCCTGTCTGCACTGAATGGTACTTCCATGTGTCAGATGACATCCAGCACCCCCAATCCACTTAATGATTCTGCGACAGCACGATTTGCTCTAAAATCCTTACAACCCAGGCTGTTCACCCTAGAAGTTGAAATTCGAAGTTGAACTGTTTTTTTTTATACCCATAATTTTTTCAGAGCATCTCAAGATTGGCCTGGCCAGCCATGAGCAGTACTATCAGGACTTCAAGCGGGAGTTTACTCAGCGAATTCAGCAGGTCGATGTCCAGATGGAAGCAGTCCAAGGAGGTACTTAAGAATTTGCAGGACTTTGCTCAGACACTCATTACCAACATGTTTGTTGAAATTAGTCAGATGGAGGGCAGTGTTTGCATTTGATAATAGTACTGCAGTTGAACCGCTGACCTGAACCAAAATTTGCTGAATGTGGCATTTTGGTTGTACATTGTAATGTTTGTATAGCGCTTTCCATCGTATCAATGATCTCAAAACGCTTTACAATTATTGCCCTGTTCATCGGGCCACGAGACCACGCGGCAGTGGATATCAGCGCACATTCAGTCCCCTACTTTCACAGGTACCTATTCATACTCCTGGGTGGAGAGAGGCAATCGTAGTTAAGTGACTTGCCCAAGGGCACAAACACCAATGTTCCTGGCAGGGTTCGAACCCATGCACCATCGTACATGAGTCAAACACTGTAACCACTGAACCATGGCATTCTACATTCAAAACCATCAAAACTTACACAACTATAAAAATGATCTAAAGGAGGCTTTGCCTAGCCACTTCGTGGGGGTGGTGGCTTCATCACCCTGTTGACCGCTTCGCGGGCAAGTCACCCACTTTGCAGGCAAACACCCACTTTGCGAGTGATCAACTCGTAAACTGGTGAACACACACAGTATACTCCTTTTGCACTTTACTGTATAGTGATGATTCGCCATTTGATGGAGGAAAACAATATTTAAGGCTGACAAAAAGACGCAAGTTATAAAGGAGGTGACAACTTGCAAGTAATGAGCCTGTCCCACAGTGTATGCATGCACATACAAGATTAAATACTGTGGGAAGACCTCTAAACTTATTGCCGAATTTCTTGTGAATCCCTCAAAAACTATATGGGCTACTGCAGTCTGTTTTTTCAAAGGGTATAATCAAACATTTAAGCTTTTCAAAATACCAAGAATGGAAGTGCTTACATACTCTAGTGTTTTACTCTGTCCCCCCCCCCCCCCCCCCCCCCCCGTATATTCCCCGAATCTGAAAAAAATATCCTTCTGTCTTCTCGTAATTAACAGTTGTTGACTGTTGTGATGAGGGATATGACATTTTTAACACCCGAGGGATGCATAGCACCCAAGGCGAAGCCGAGGGGGTTAAAAACGGCATATCCCACATCACAGCAGTCAACAATTGTTTTGTTATATCGTGCCAATAACTCAAAAAGATAAATGGTTGTAACTTACTGTGTGAGAAATAAATTAAACCACTGCGATGTAGCCTTTGATAACTGAGAGTTTTGATGTCCTGCCGGACATGAGCAGTTGACGTTTGCAGTTCTCATTGCGCGAAGCTAGCGCGCCGGCAGGTTCTATACGCGTGCGCAAAGCGCGCAATGAATGCAGTGGGATATCACTGATCTCGTCTCAAAAAATGGATACAAGTGTGTGAAATGCTTTTTAACAGAGCAGACACGTGGCCGTTCTAGAATATTTAAAAAACAGTATCCAAACACACAATATAACAATTAAAGTTTGGACCCGAAGGAGAACAGTGCAGAAGCAATAACCAGGCTACATATTAGATGTACAACAAACAAAAGTGAGAAGAAGATTATATTGTATTTTTTTGGCTACATTTTCTTTCACCTGTGTTTTTACATTAATAATAAAGATTCATATAGTTTAAAAACATAAATCAAAGAGAAGGGAGGATTGGATGAGTTGGCATTACAGTTATAACCAGCTGGCTTGATGTTGATTCAATATCGATTCACAGGTGGTGATGATGTGTCGATGGCACAGCGGCTTCAAGAACTTGAGGTCAAGAAGCAATCGCTGCATACTGAACTCAGAACATGCACTCAGTTACTAGTAGACGCATATGACAAGTGAGTATGAGCTCCGTGCGCCAACAAAAAAGGGGGCCTTTTTACCACTTTTAAGAGACCTGTGGATGAGACACACAGCGTGTGCATACTGTACTGTACTGGTTCGCGCGCGAAGGGCGCATGACTTTCTGAATGTGCCAAAGCCATTAGCCACAGCGTCTTCAAGTGAGCGTCGGGCATCGTCAGCACACTAATACGCTCAAATTTAAACTTGCGATGGTCTCCCAGACTGATACCAGCCCCCAATAACTTTGGATCATTCGAAATATGCAGTGGATGGACCGGGAACCAGTCTAGGTCTCCCCCAACTCTCTTTTCTGGCCGTTGAAGGAGTACTTGTGTGTGGAGCCCATAGGGAAATCGCCTGTCTCAACTTTCAACGTCTGACATTTTTGGTTTGGCATGCAGTGCTTTAGATGTTGAGATCCAGTATTGTTTTGTACATATTTTTGTCAATATCTTTCAGGTATTTAACGGATCACCTGCCTACTCCTTCGTTACTACCGGTCACAGTCTCGGTGCGACTCCAAGGGAAAAACGTCACTCTGCCAGATATTAAACTAAAGCCACACAGTAGGTGAGCTTGATTGCTGATCATTCTGAACCCTAACCCTCTCAGATCCCTCCAAATTAGCCAGGAGGTTTCTGTTGGGTAGGATTGAGGAATGCAGGACCCAGCTACCATTTCAAGGAGTATAAGGTGCCGGGGAAATTGGGTTTCATGAGGTGATTTTTCCTAAAAGCCTGGGCCCTTTTATACCAGGATTTTGGATGTTTATCTTTGACTGAGCCCAGTGTAACATTATCGGGTTAAAGGTATAGTCCATCATTTGTAATTTGTGCATTTTGTTCGTTTGAAGCAACAAAAGTGCTCAAAATCTAAAGAAGGGTACTGAACAACTAACCTGATGAAGTTTCAGCTCAGCTTCAGCTGTATATTCCGAGGAAAACAGCATTCTAGGATCTCAATTTCAAATCAAAAGTTGCTGAATCATGTTTTGAATTGGGCCTGAATTCAGCGTCCGAGAAACGTTCTCACTGTGCCGATTGCAGCTACGCGATGTCGCGCACTGATCCGACGAATTATAGCATGTGCGTGTGCGTCGTGCAAATGCTTGCGCGCGCTTCGCCGAATAACAAAACGAACTATTAATTTAAATTTTCCTACGGTGAATTTTAAGAAGCATTGTTTGAAAGGCCTTCCCTCGTTGATTACTTCAAAATGACAGTTTGCCAGAAAGAATAAATTCACAGGGAGTTTAGTCCCCTTACTATCTTTCAACCAAGTATGTTTTTCAACAATAATTACACCAGTTACTTTTCGGATAGCTGCAAATGATGGACTATAGCTTTAATCACTGAAGGCAATGGTTACACCATAGGAGGCCAGTCCACACTCTTTGGCATGCATTAACGTAACTCATGTGCCACAGCGGCCACACTTACAGTCCGACAAATCCAGGATTTCTGTTGTTTATGCATCAATTTTACAATCAATAAAGCATCGTTCCTTTCAAATTATAGTTTCCATTACAGATTTGAAATCCGAGTAGTAACAACACGTATGTCAACAAGCGAGTTGACTGTGAATAAAACAATCTTGATGTGGTTGCTTTGTTTATCCAGTTTATCCGATATTAAGGAGGTTGTTACCAGGGCAATGGAGACGAGGGGAGATCCTATTGCTAGTTTCCCAGATGACAAAGTGAAATTTGTTCTACTTGGGTAAGTCTTGACTCTGTGCATGATCAACCGCGGGCAGTGTGTAGCCCCCAATAATGAGAGTGTTTCACAAGTGCTTTGCGCTGTTTTTATTAAAGGGAAGATACAACATTTGCAAACATCAAAAAACAAAATGATCAAATTATCACGAAATACCTTACTGAATTGTTAGGGATTGACAGTCTAAAGCATCCTGTAAAATCGTGGCTCCTGGTGTGCTGACATTTGATAATAATAGTAATAATAATTTTGGAGGCTAATCGTCCTTACTGGCAGCTGGGATGCTGAATTGCGAAGGACGTGGCTACAACGTGGTCGGGCCGCTGGCACATAAAGGCGACTATGGCTGCCGGCCACAGCGACCCATATATGACCACGGAGCACAGCCTGAGATCGAAAGTGTTTGATTTTTCCGGAGGGAGGAAAACCGGAGGGCCCGGAGAAAAACCCTCGTGGCACAGGAGAGAACCAACACCCAACTCTACTCACATGTGATCCGTGGCCAGGCCAGGATCCGCGGCCAAGATTCGAACCGTGGTCACCTTGGTGGGAGGCGAGCGCTTTACGCACAAGCCACCCATGCCAAGTAGCCTTTTCTTAAAGAGGTGGAATGCTCGAAGACATTTCCGTCATTTTTCGGGTATATGTAGCCTAAGGTGTGATGAAATAAAAACGACTATTGTTTCTGTCACAAAATGAGTACAAAAGGTACTTTTGAGAGCTGTTTTTCAGGTCCTGTTTCGACCCAAACGTGCAATTTGTGTAAAAGTCGTCGTTGCGGGCAGCAAACAAAACACAGTAAATCATGACGTAATAAACAGGACTCGTTTATGCTACTCTGCATCGGGATTCCTGTTTATTACGTCACGATTTACTGTGTTTCGTCGTTGCGGGCAGCAAACAAAACACAGTAAATCGTGACCTAATAAACAGGACTCATTTATGCTACTCTGCATCGGGATTCCTGTTTATTACGTCACGATTTACTGTGTTTTGTTTGCTGCCCGCAACGACGACTTTCACACAAATTGCACGTTCGGGTCGAAACATGCATGACAGGACTTGAAAAACAGCTCTCAAAAGTTCCTTTTGTACTCATTTTGTGACAGAAACAATAGTCGTTTTTATTTCATCACACCTTAGGCTACATATACCCGAAAAATGACGGAAATGTCTTCGAGCATTCCACAACCTCTTTAACAGCAAACTCTTGCAACACACTGGCATTGGTTCTTTTCTGGATCCAGGATATCCTTAGCATTCTTTGCCAGCACCACAACTCAAAGGCATTGATTTTGTCGCAGTCTGCTTTGTTCAGGGATCAGGATTCGCAGGCATAGGTTGCAATTGGGAACACAATCAAGTGCCCGCACTAGCGGTGTCTTAGTAGCATTGGTGATGTCCTTGTCTGCCAAGATTATTGACATCTTTGTTCATTGCAGATCTTGCCAATGCAACACGGCGCCTTATTTTGTCCTTGCATCCACCTTCCACCTAAACGTACTCATTTAAAACCGGATAAACACATTTATGAGCAGTAGATTTTGAAGTGAAGAGGTTCAAGTTGAAACTCTTTCATTGTTGATCTTTGTTTAACTTCAACAAAAATTTGTAGAAAAAACTTCAGGTTGGTTCATAGAGAGCCTGGTTTTCCAGTATGGAAGAAATATCAGTACATGTATTTTCCTTTTTCATTGTTGTTCTTGTGCAGACCTATTGAGAAGGGTCGAGAAATATTGGCTGAATTTCTAGAGGAGCTGTCATTGACTCCAGATGATACTGAGAGGTCAGAGGTTATCAGGCTCCTACCCGGAGGGTGTCATCCAGTACTGGAGTTTGGTGTCAAACCTGGGAGCGAGGTTGTAATAGCTGGTCCAATCAAACTAGAAAGGTGAGATTAAGGAATGTACTGGCCACGTGGTGACCCTTCATCTTACAAGATTTATATCTTTGAAGTATGAAGTGAAAAAATATTTTTACAGAACATATTTGTAAGCTCTGGCAGGAGCTTCTACATGTCACTTGATGGTTGGTTGGTCGGTCTGTCTGTCTGTCTGTCTGTCTGGGTGTCTGTCTGTCTGTCTGTCTGGGTGTCTGTCTGTCTGTCCCTGACCAAAATTATTTGACCAAAAATTGATCAAATGCCATGCCGTGGTCATATAAAAGCACTGTTGCCAAAAGTTTTCGGAAGACCGGATTGGTTTCATTCGATGCGCATCTATTTTGCATATATATGTCTGTCCCCAGAAAATTGACCAAAAACAAGCCCCCTAAGTTGCCCATAAAATATAACTACCTAACTTAAATTTTCAAAAAAAGTTAACAAAATAAATAAAATACTTAACAAAAATTGTTTGTAACAATTCCTGAAGTTGTTTATGAACATTTTGTAAATGGAGGCAAAATACATGTATGTGCAGTAAGGTTTATAGTCACGTTGTATAGCGCAGCGTTATTTTGACATGGGATGGCCCTGGCTTGCACGCACAATCTCCGGTCAACATTACCGTCCGTTGCACGGTGAAATCATTTGTGCCGGCGTGGATGGTACCCCAAAGCACACGGTTATTCTTTGGCACTTTTGGCATTGATGCAAGATGACCAGAGCTTATTGTGCACTCGCACTTGTTTATATAAAATGCAAGGTTCAGTCTTGTCACATTTGATGACAGATTTGTAGACAATATGACAAGTGAAGTCGCTCACAGTTTTTTCCCCACACTGCTGGGCAAAAAGCCATTGATGTTATGTTTTAGTGGGGGAAATTTATAAGAAAGCATCGATGGTATTTTATGGTAGATTTTGGTCTCAATTTGACATTTTTGTTTCGATTTCAGTGAGATGCCCAAGCAGTGCTTTGCACAGACATTTGTCAAGGATAAAGGCCAATCAATGGACTACTTCACCTGCACCGACTGCTCTTTCAAATGTAAGTACACTGGATTTGAACCCCTGACCCTCTGATTGCAAGGCACTGAGTAGTCACTGCAACTTCAAGAGACTAGCATTTTAACCATTTTTTTTTACCATTTGAAAATATAACTGAAATCAGGCCAATGCTACCTTTTTAGATATTTTGTTTTGTACAAAACGTAAGTAGCTAAAGAAGTCACCGAATTGTTCTCATTTAGAAAATGCTCTGGGTATGCAGTATTTTACAGTGAGAAAAGTAAGGTCACTAGAGATTGACCGATGTTCATATCTGGATCAAATTTATTTCGTTTTTCTATAACGAAAAGCTCATCTTCCAAAATTTCTCCACTCATACAGATGACATGAACAACAACTGAATTAAAAATGTTCATTTATTAATTGTTCAGGTAAAATATTCAATTTGTTTGGTAGTTTCCTCCTGTTTGCCGTAAATGTACTTGAGAAAACTATTATATGATGACAAAAATGTATCGCTTTCTTGCAGGGGTGTGTCGATCTTGCCGAGATTTTTGCCACAAGGATCACCAAACGGTGCCATATGTAATGGGACATCAACCTACATGGTAACGATTTCTAGAATAATTCTTTCTTTTTTTTATTTCTCATTTTTTGGAATTTCAGATCAGCATGTTTTACTGCAGAATTAATGACTTGCACAGGTCAAATTAAATGCTTAATTTACCCTATTTTTGCTTGCAGGGCATGTTGCTACTGTCCAAGAAAGAAAAAGGTAATGTGGTTTTATATTTTTCAACGCATATTATAAATTTGAGGGAGATTTTCATAAAAAAATGTTGTCCTTTTTGGGGGCATTTACAGTTTGGAATTTTGAGAAATGGAGCCTTGTGTTGGTTTTAAAAATTCCAATTACCAACCGTTGTCCTACTTTAGGCAAAAAAAAAAAAGTCTCCAGTGTCTGGTATGGAGCTTGCCCAAAAAGTGGTGCGGCGACGCGGCTTTTTTTTTTTTTTTTACCTGTTTTTTTTGCTTCAAATGTCGGTTGATGATTGCAAATGGTGCCCGACTAAACTTAGTGCAAACATGCAAATAATTTATATGGGAGTCCAGAGAGGCCACATTAAGCTTATTCTTGACCATAACCCAATCTAAAAACACGTTAAAATTGTGCAGCAGCAGGATTCCAGTCAATCCAGTGAGTTTGGCGGTTTTGAGACATCATCTTTCATTGAAAAAAAAACGTTTTCATTTTGCCGACGCGCATGGCTACGGCGACGCGCGCGCATACCAGAAACCGGAGATTTTTTTTTTTGGCCTTGGGTGCTTCCAGAATATTACATGTACATGTACAGGTGATATTGCAGACCGGTGTGGTAGGCCTCAAAATTGTTCGCTCTGACAATTGTGGGTTCTAATTCCCAATCTATTGACTGTCAATTCCAATAGTGGTGCTTAAAATTAGTAGGCAAGTCTCTGTAACAAATCTCAGGGAATCATCATCATCATCATCATCATCATCAGCGTTAAGAGTCCATTTGTCCCACTTTGTGGGGTTGGACATTTCATTTCCTTAATGGCTGCTCTCCAAGCTTTCCTGTCTGTGGGGTCCATGTGAGCGATACCAGATGTTTTGGCATCTTCTTCTACAGTTTCCCTCCAGGTTTTTCTGGGTCTCCCACGAGGCCTTCTTCCGGTGACTCGAAAATTTAAAGCTCTCTGGAGCCAGTGTGTTGCCTCTCTCCTAGCCACATGTCCATACCATCTAAGCCTGTTAATCCTCATAACCTGTGCTACCCCCATCAGGCCCACTGACTGAAGGAGGACTTCATTCCTCGTTCTTTCATGTAGTGATGTTCTGCACATCCACCTCACCATCCTCATCTCAACCTTTTCCAAGCGCTGTACACCTAGACGATTTCATTGCCCATGTTTCGCTCCCGTATGTCATGCATTTTCTTACACATGCATCATACACCTTCCCTTTCACTCTTAGAGGGGTCACCCTTGAGGTGAGGAAGGGAGAGAGTTCGCGAAACTTTTTCCAAGCACTTTGGATCCTTGCAGTCACAGCTGCTGTCTTACCTCCTCTGGCAGCTAACATGTCTCCCAGGAAACAAGTACTTAATTGTCAATTTGGGCTTGACACTACCTAATATGGACACTATACCTTAGATGACTCAGTTTGCACATGGACATGTCACTGCACCGACACACAGTTCAGATATATGCAGAACTTGTTTTCATCTCAATGCTCAAACCTGTTTTCTCTGTTCATACTCATTGGGTAAATGTTGGCTATAGAAATCCCTTTCTGTGTCACCATTGTGTACCTACGCGGAGTTCATCAGGAGTACAAATAAGGGAATAACTATTTGCTTGGCCAGTTTTAAATGTTGTTTAAAATCGGCTTGGGGCCTGGACGCGTATATAATGACACAACCCAAGCTGAAGGCAAGGGTCATTTTCTGCGTTCTGCCCCCATAGCTGGTTTTGAAACGTATTTGTTTAAATACAGCCAAGCACTTATTTATTGCCATTCATAAATACCTTTCGGTCAAAAAGTCAAAACAAGTAAGAAATTCAAAAAATGTTACTTTATGTTTTGTGAAACGTCCCTCTGGCCATGTCTATGGTATGTGTCTTGCGTGCGTAGTATACAAATATTGAGTGGCTCAGCGTGGAATGGGAGGAATATTATCGCAAGGTAAAATCTGGACTTTTCCATTTCACGAGGCGAAGCCGAGCGAACTGGAAAAGTCCAGATTTTACCGAGCGATAATATTCCTCCCATTTCACAATTTAAAGCCACTCAATATTTGTTTTATATAACTGACATATAGATCCTTGTCATTTGATATATTTGAACTTTTTTTCAATACAAAACTGGAGGAAAATGTATTTCTCTCTTCCAAACCACCCTTTCACGAAAATGTTTGAACCCAACACTGTAGCGCTGGCTCTTTGGAACAATATGCGCTACGCGCAATGCTGAACGCGCACACCAGCATGCATTTGCACACAAATACCGCGTCATGATCCTAACTGTTGAATAGTATTTCCCATTCCCCATGGGCGGATAGTACTTTTTGAGCCGCGGCGTGAATGGGAGCAATAACGAATGCCACGTGATTTGAGTTCCACCAATCAAATGACAAGGATCTGTGTGTCGGTTATATAATACTAAATATCTCTTTATATGGAAATTGGCGTATGGGTGGCGCGTACTGCATGAGTGGCGCAGAATACAGCAGTGATTTACCGGCGGTTTAAAGCCACCCATGTGATAGGCTCTCGACCAATAGGAATTAGTAAACTGTCTCAGGTATTTATGAATGCTGCATGGAGTACCATTCATAGTAGACTATTGCAGTGCATTGGATCTAAGTGAGATTATTATTAACATCTGGAAAAATCTGATTCTCTTCCTTCTTTTGCTTTTAGTGCCAACTTGGTGAAACAAGAACTTAAAGTGGACTTGTACAAGGACCGAGTATGGGAGCTCACCCTACACTCCTGAAAGCCTGTCAGTAATAAGGATGGAAAGTTTGCGGTAACACCCCCATGCCGGTGAATGATATCTCTTATTGAGTTGTGTGGTTCTGAGAAGAACCAGGTGTTTTAACTCAACGTTTTGAACAGTGTGCTCTGTTCGACACCAGTCTCCTGGGCCCAATTTCACGGCGCTGCTCAGCACAATATTTGCTTAGCACAAAAAGTCTGGCTTTTAAAAGCAGGTTACCAGCTGAATCTCCATGTGATTGTCATGCTAAGCAAACAACAGCTGAATACTAGTCACGAGCAATATACTTCATATGGAGTTTTGGCTGGTAACCTGCTTTTATAAGCCAACCTTGTTTTGTGCTAAGCAAATTGTTGTGCTTGGCCCCTGGTGTTACCGACAGCTTTCCATTCTTTGTTCGTATCCAACATGCAGACCCTCAAGTCTCTCTTGTAGTAAGGATCGAGTGCCGAAAGACTTTGAATGGACCTTACTCCAAGAGGGTTGTTCTTTTACGTCACAAAGTCACTACAGTACAGTAGTTGTTTCAGGAGAAATTTGACATGCATGACCAAACTGTATGGCATAGCATGGTCCAATATAATAACCCTGCTCAAAATGGAAAAACAAAATGGGTTCAAAAACTTGAGTGTTATTAGAAGAGCCTTTCACCGCAACAATTATTGCAATTTAAACCAAAACAAATTGTCAGTGTGTTGACTATAAAAAAAATATTGCTGCAAGTACATGGTTTTTATTGGCGCATTTTCTTGTGCACTGTAAAGAGGTTTAGACAATCTTTTGACATGTTTTACTATATAACTATGGACAAAAGTCTTTTGACATTGGCACAACCCCTTCTACGTGTATATTGTTTATGGCAACACGGTGTTGTAAATTGATGAGAAAAACAATATTTATTGTTGTTATTTGCAGACTTTAAAGCAGCTTTTGTTTAAGCCCCCCAACAAAATCACTTTGTGTACACCAAAACATTTGTGAAACTCAGAATATTTATTGGTCACGGCAACTATTACTTGTTTATAGCATATTTACAATTAAAGTCCATCTCTGGCGTAACTTTTCTAATTGAAATATAGGTTATTCCATTCAGAAATACGAAAGAAATCTGGTCTACGTTCTTGACAGGTTTTAAGAAAGACTTCTTTTTTAAGAGTTTAATTTAGAAAAATATGTACACTTTCTACAAGAGGAATTATACATGTACGTGTAAATAAAAAGATGACTTGATTTCACTCTTACCGTTTGTCTTTCAAATTGTTTTTCAAAGGCCTGTCTTTAAAAATCAGGCTTAAAGGAAAAACAAGTCTCACATTGATTTGTTCTGTCGTGTGCTTGGATTCTGTAATTTCATTGGTCTGCAACGTCAAGCACTCAGTCCAATGTCCGGTGGGACATCAAAACCTTCATGAAAAGTTAGTACATCACAGTGGTTTAATGTTCACACAGTAAGTTGCAACCATTCATCTTTTTGAGTTATTGGCACATTATAACAAAAATCCATTTTTGAGTGCTGAGTGATGTGGGATATGCCATTTTTAACCCCGTCTAATGTCATATCCCACATCACAGCAATCAACAACTGTTTGCTAATTAAGCCTGTACCTTAATTGTTGGTTGCCACAAACTTGCAGTTTCTCCCTCAAATGTACAATGCGTGGATTAAGTTTTATCTTGAACCAAAAAAACAATAAATATGCAGAATCTTTGGCTTTTTAAAAATAAATTACTGCATCTTTACCGTTTGGTGCACATAAATACCAAGGTTACACACCTATGTTCCGACATCCCTATGTTTGGATTGCACAATTTTGTTGTCATCTCACACAGATACTGTGATATATGGGCCTGCAAATAATATCTTGACCCTGTAGATAACGAGGGATTATAAACGTAGCCCCCCTCTCCAAATTTTGTCTAGCTCCCCCCCCCCAAAAAAAGTTCCATAAATTTTTTTTACAAATTGCACTAGCCAAATTAAGAATGTGACGTACATGCGAACGGTCTCCCCCTAAATAAATAGTCGTGAGAAGGGTGCATTTGTACACTTTTAGCTAATATAGTGTGCCTGATTGAAGGATTTCATCAGCGCTCCCCATTGAAAATATGGCACGAGCCCCCCCCCCCCCCCCCCCCCCCCCCCCCCCCCCCCCCCCCCCCCCCCTCGAGCTATTGATTTTCGGAGGCCTAAGTGTCCGGAAAAAATAACTAGTCTACACTTCAGCACGCCTCCCTAAAAAAAAATCTGGATCCACCCTGCTAGCCCCCCCCCCCCTCCCCACTAGTCATCAGAAAAAGACGTCGTTTAGTCATCAGAAAAATACGTCGTTTAGTCATCTGAAAAAGGAGGTCGTTTTAATCATTGTCAGAAGAAGACGTCTCTGTCGTCAGAAAGATACGTCGTTTGGTTTTGCATATACGACCAAAATAAGACGTCATAATTGTACGTCTAATAAAATCTCTTTTATTCGTCAGAAAAAGACGTCTTTTGGGCGTCAGAAAAAGACGGGTGGTTTGTTGTCAAGGGAGAAAGAGACGTCTTTTTGTTGTCAGAAAAAGACGTCTTTTTTTTTCGTCAGAAAAAGACGTCTTTTGGGCGTCAGAAAAAGACGGGTGGTTTGTTGTCAAGGGAGAAAGAGACGTCTTTTTGTCGTCAGAAAAAGACGTCTTTTTGGCGTCAGAAAGAGACGTCTCGTTGTCGTCAGAAAGAGATGTCTTTTTTTGTTTTGCATTTACGCCCAAAATAAGACCAAAATATAAGACGTCAAATTTTTACGTCTAAAAGACGTCTGAATGACATTGTTTACCCACTGGGATGATAAGAGAATATGTGATATTAAAATAATACTACAAAGTACATGCATTGACAGGAACGGTAACACACATCTTCAAATGTAGGCCAGGGAATAATTGCGGGGTGTCATGTCATGCAATGACTGTTGGGTGCAGCGGAAAACCAGTAATGAATATGACAAGTTATTGTTGGTGGAAGACTGCTGATGCTCCTCCATGGCCACGCCATTTCCGGGCATAGAAGCGGTACTATTTACCTTCATGGTATGCCTTGCTAACTTCAGCCTTCCATCTACGCTTCTCCTGGAGATCTTGTTTGGTCATCCTCTACACAGAAGCAAGTCTCCCCTGCTAGAGCCTGTCGCTGGTGCCGCAAGATTTCAAGCTTATCATGGTACGCAGTTCAATTTGAAGAGTAGTTGTTTACCGGGAATCTTGGGGCCATCACGGTGGGCTTGTTCGATCTTAACGTCAGTCAGACCAAAGTTGTCTCGAAGAAGATTCTTAGGCTCAAGCAGTCTTCATCTTTTTCTTGTGGAAGGCCGATAACTCTGACATTGTTACACCTGCTTTGTTAAAACGTTTGAGTTTGTTGAGCATTTTGTTGTGGTCAGGAAGCTGTTGATCTATTGTACTGACATCTTGGCACAATTTCTCCAGCTCCTTTACTTTGTTTTCAAGATCGGAAATGCGCCGGCTTTTGAATCGGATCGACTCATTGATGTCACGGGCGTCGCTAGACCATTTTGAATGGGTGGTTACCATCAAGAAATTTGTCGACTGACCGTTGCGTAAAATGAGTGTAATTGATAATTTACGCCCAAAATGACCCCTTTAACTCCATTTCTAATTGCCTCCACAAATATACGAATGGTTTATTATGTTGATTACTTAATAAATGGATAAAATTTTCAATGGGAAAAGTTGAACTTCAAAAGTAAATCGTCAAAATTTGGCCCAATCATAATAAGATTTTTTTTGGACATATTTTGCTCATCGTAACACCGTATACATACTCAGTACGTGTGCGTATACCTTGTTCAGGCCCATTCCCTGATTTCAGACGGGGGGGGGGGGTCTTCAAGTTTAAAGCTATAGTCCATCATTTGTAATTTGTGCATTTTGTTCGTTTGAAGCAACAGTGTTCAAAATCTTATGAAGGATACTGAACAACTAACCTGATGAAGTTTCAGCTCAGCTTCAATTGTATATTCCGAGAAAAACAGCATTCTAGGATCTCAATTTCAAATCAAAGTTGCTGAATCATGTTTTGAATTGGGCCTGAATTCCGCGTCCGAGCGCGAGAAACGTTCTCACTATATCATATAGCAACCGAATTATAGCAACCGTGCGTGCGTGTGCGTCGTGTCAACGCTTGCGCGCGCTTCGCCGAATAAAAAAAAACGAACTACTAACGGAAATTTCCAACGGTGCGTCTTAAGACGCCTTCTTTCGTTGATTACTTCAAAATGACAGCTTGCCAGAAAGAATAATTTCACAGAGAGTTTAGTCCCCTTACTATATTTCAACCAAGTATTTTTTCAACAATAATTACGCCAGTTACTTTTCGGATAGCTGCAAATGATGGACCATAGCTTTAAATCCTAAAGCGAACCTTTTTATATGCGAGCACATATATTTTGATTCTAGATGCTCTGTGGTGCATTGAGTCTAGGCATTTCCTGACCACTTTCCCCTGACTGTTTGAATGAACTGTGCTCGTTTGAGTGAGGGAGTGGGGTTGGGTCATAGTATACAAATATTGAATGCTTCGAGTGGTGTAGTAAAACTAGCCTCCCGAGACGATCCATAGACATTCTATTTTCCCGAGGCGCGAAGCCGAGGAAAAATAGAATGCTCCATCAATCACCGAGGGAGGCTAGTTTTACTTCACCACGAGATAAAGCATTCAATATTTTGTTTTAAACACTTCACCCACAGATTCTGCTTGGTTATAATATTTTAAATTATTTAAATCTAAACACAGTTGAAATAAACTTAAACTTCAATACAAAATTGGTGGGAAATGTATTTCTCTCTTCCAAAGTACCCCTTTGCGAAATGTTTGAACCCAACTCTGTGGCGCGCTCTCTTTGGAACAAAACGCGCTGCGCGCAACGCGCAACGTGCACACCAGCATGCATTTGCACACAAATACCGCGCCGTGGAAAAAGTACTTTGGTTGCTAATGGTAAAGTATATCTCAAATTAGGTTTTGCCCTTCACCGACGTTTAAACACTGTATACTCAGTGTCTTACCTCCCGAGTGAAAGTTGGAAAAAATCACTCGGGTGGGACTCGAA